TTTCTAAAACCTTCTTCTTACCAACCGCACCTCACGATCTCCAAATAATCATTAATTAACGGCCACTAAACACCACACATTAATTTTAGTGCGGCGTTAGTAGAAAAAACTTAAATGCTGTAAAATCATATGCTAGTCTGGGGCCAGATGGTATTCCCGAAATTTTCTTGAAGCACTCATTCATTGTGTATATCCTGTTCGCTTATTAAACTGTTCGAGGGCATCTAGTATATTTCCTGATAAGTGGAAATTATCGTATGTTACCTGTTAATAGAAATGGCAAGAAGACCGTTCCGTCCAATTACAGACCCATAAGCAGATGTTCCCCTATTGCAAAGGTCATGGACTCGTTTATCACTGAGTCATTCTCTTTAGCCTATAACAACTTCTTTGTGTCGATTGATCAGCATGGTTTTGTTAAGGGGCGTTCAACCACAACGTACCTAATTTTAAAATATAATGACTATTTTAAATTCTGTTGAATCTGGCAAGAATGTTCATTCTGTGTACACTCTCTCTCAAAAGCTTCGACAGGATGGATAGATTCTTGTCGAAAAGGAACCTCTAGTATTGGGTAGAGTTCCTCAGGGCTCGCCCACCGGGCCAATTTTATTTTTGAACTTCTTCAATGTTGTTACTAAAGTTATTAAGAATAGTCATTTAGCGCTGCTTGCTGATGATTTAAAGTGTTTTAGGAGATAGATTGTGGGGGTGATCTTCAAGAGGACTTGAGTGCATTTGAGAACTGGTGCCGATTAAACAAATTAGTCATTAATGGTGAAAAGTGTAAATTTATCTGTTTCTCCATGCATAAGTCTAAAAAATCCAATAATATTAACTTCACTATATTGTCAATGGAGATATTATTGAGGAAGTCACTCAAATGTCTGACTTCAGTGTAATTTTCAACTCCGTCTGTGATTTCCGAGACCATTTTGAAGGCATCACGAAAAAATCCTACAGGAATCTTGTTTTATTAAGAGAATTACTGCGGACTTCACCAATCCTTCGCAATCAAACTCCTCTATCAATCCCTTGTTAGAAACCATTTTGAGTATGCAAGTGTTGTTTGGTTTTCTGTCAATCGATGTGATATGGATAGGCTTGAGAAAGTGCAACATAAAGCGGTGCAATATTTAGTGTTCAAATCTGGGTATCATCAGGTGGGAGGGAGACTGACTAAAATCTCACTAAGATAAACTTTTGGGCTGGATACTCTAAACCTGCGTAGAATTGCCGGTTCGCTCACTTTTGTTAGAGAGTTCTTAATTGTGACATTGATGCTCCTATGTTTGTCTCCTCCTTTCATTTGAATGCCCCGATTCGGAATATATAAAAGGAAGAAGGAAAAACTTCAAATCCTGACAGGATTCTTGACAGGACATTGCAGACTGAATGAGCATCTGAAGAAGAACACGGCACTTGCAGATTCTGCTAAAGACTGCTAAAGAAGCAGAGGATACACCAACAAACCTACTGAACAATACATACTAACACTCCGTGGCACCACATTTGCCCATAGGAAGAAGTTGGATGTATGTTGAGCTAGGACTGGATAGCTGTGTGCTATAAGAACAGAACGTACAGAAACGCATACAATACACCCTGAACCTTACATCTACATCTAGTAGTTCTTAAAATGATTGTTTTCCTATTTGAAAGCCACCTAATTGATTATATACGTGTGCTTTTTGCCGGTAATTACACAGCAACATTAATATTTACAAGTATGTTAGAATAAGAACGTGTTAATAATAATACTTAATGCAGTTAATGTTAACTTATAATTTTAAAGTAGAAATTTTGAGGCTTATACATTCATACATATAGTATGTACATGTATATGCACATATATATTTATTTTTTAAATAATTTTTTTGACTTACAAGAATATTATTAACTCCTTCCAAAAATAAGTAACAGCAGGTTTTCCTACCCTAAAAAACAAAAATTAAATAAAATGTTTAAAAAAATATCGTAAATAATAATAAATATAAACAATATTGTTTTGTATATTTATCGACCAACTTGTGCAGATAATGGTCTCTTGGTTGCAATCAGGGATGTGGCCAAAGAAAGATATATTTAATTTTAAATCTTCGCCTAGCTTTCGGAACTTTATTGTACCTTTTTCAGGGCTTGATTTTTGGTCAGAAGTATATAAACCTATTTTATTTTCATATTAACACTGAAACCTGAGAGAAACTTCACACTAGTTATTGTTGTTTTTATGCCTGTGATATTTGTACAAATTAGTCTAGCCATTTCATGGTTGAAAAGGTGAAGAAGAAAGTGAAAAGGCTTTAGTGTTAACATGAAAATAAAAGAATTTAAGTTTATATACTTCTGATCAAAAATCAAGCCCTGAAGAAAGTACAATGAAGTTCCGAAAGCAAGGCAAAGATGTAAAATTAAAAATATCTTTTTTTGACCACATCCCAGATAACAACCAAGAGAACATTATAAACAATATTATCCCGGGTTTCGCACGATGGCAAACAGCTTAAAACGAGGCCAAGAAGCCTAAAAAGTTTTGACATAAATAGGACTTAAGTATTCCGGACGTGTAGCCAGTCCCAATATCTGTAGATACTGCAAGCGTACACCGTGTAATTTACTTTACTTCCCAAGCTATAAACTTGGCGAAACTTGGCGTATAGAAGATCCTCGAAGAGTTTGTTTCGCTAATAAAATATAAAAAAAGGCAACGCTTGCGCTTGGAATTCGTATCACGATCGTATTTGTCGAAAAAGGGGTGAAGCGTTTCTGTACCAATGAATAGATGCCTTCGTAATAGTCAGCCCAAGACGGAGAGAGTGGTTGTACAAGTCGATGTGTACTTCCACGCAATAATGCTGAAAAATCCTACACAAAGAAAAAAAATCGGAGTAAAAGAACTTTCCAAATCTCTAAAGTGTCCTTTCGATTCAAGCAACCGTAAAAGCCAAGGTACATTAGATACCATTTATCCTTGTCCTTCATTGCTTCCCGATCGTTTGAACAATGAATTTATTTCGGCAACAAGCTTCGGGTCGCAAAATAAACTACAAGTTTGGGGGAATTAGACTTCGGTGACTCATAAAGAGAAAGCATAAATATGTAAGATAGTTTACAAGGTCGAAGTAAAATTTTTTTAGCCGTTAACCGAAAAATACGAAAAACGGATGGACCGGTAATTCTTTTATGCTCAACGATCTAAGAATTTTGCGTGTAATTCTTCGTCATATCGTAATTGACGATCAATGACAAAGCGCAATATCCAATTGAATTCATCCAACAAAAATTTCCATATTGTATGTAAATTAACGCAGCATCGAAAACACATTTAGTGGTGGCGTAATAAAACTTTTTTGCTGTGTCACTACAAATTTTTTTTAACACAAATATTCAAAAATATGGCGCCTAAGTTGACCAAGATTAATAATGTAACTTCCTGATAGACAACTTTTGTTTGGTTCTTGTCGAAAGTACTATTGCAACATAAAACAAATGAGATAGTCAGGTAGACCCTAAAGCAAAATAAAATATGCTGATTGTTTTAGTTTGGTTGTTTCCAAAGGGCATCGCACATTGTTGATTGTTATACGCTAAAATGAAATCCCTCATCCACTTCTACAACTAAAATGAAATCATTTAATTTTCAAATGTTTCTATCGTGTTTTATTATTATTTAATAATTAAAAATATTATATTTCTCTCAAAACTTTATTTAAGTTAACTGAGGTACTAAGTATATAATCTTTTATATTAATAAATTTATTTGTTTACGAGGGTATTACAACTATGTGGTTGTAATTATGAACCCTAGGGGTGGGTGCAGGTGTTTTTGAAAAAACTCATGCGTGAGTATGTCGGATTCGATGCAGGGTTTCGAAACGGGAATATAGCCGTGTCAACAGCTAAATCCATGCCGAAATTGGGTCCGTCTTTACTCGCGGGTTTGTTGAACTACTCAAACGCTTCTACTCGTTCAGTGAGGAATTGAAGATGGAAAAGATGGTACACATTCGAGGATTTTTTTCCTGCCACTGAAGATGGCGCAATGCGTAACGCGTTTGAGTAGTTCAAACAACCCGCGGGTTAAGACGGACCCAATGCCGGTTCAGCATGGTCTCCACCGACTCGTAGACCAACACCCAGCATCAATTCTTAACGGCCCTAACCGTTGCGGCCACCGATGCGACGCCCTAACTATTTATTACAAAATATTAATATCTGTCTAGTTAAAGAAAATTTTTTATCCTTCATTCCCTTCCGAAATCTATGTTTTCACTAGCTTTGCTACGGTATGAAAATTGTACTTTGTCGTAAGATTATGCAGAATTTTAGATAGTATATACATTTTACTCTTTCATATGATGATATTTTGATTAAATAAATTTCAATATCTGCCGCAGTTCAAAATATTTGTTCAAGAAGGAAAACTCTTTATCTCCTTCTTCTAATCTATGTTTTTACTAGCTTTTTTGCAGTTTGGACGTTGTCCAATTTTTTCCCCGCTTAATTCTTAGCTGCGTAAGAAGAAAATGGCCCACTTTGTTCACCGAATCGGAAAAAGGAGGAAGACAGGGAAAAAATAGGGTTATATAGGAAAGCCTGGGAAAAAGTAGTTTGTCACAGCGATATCGCAGAATGTCTCTACGGCCTATAAAGGTCCACCCACACATCGGTGGAAAATTGGATGGGGATTAAGTTTATTTATAGTTTACCTCGCCCTAAACTCTTTTCACCAAGGTTTCCTCTGCATTGGGCACGCTGGGACTTTTTTTTCCAAAACCAAGGACCTCCGACGAGGTAATAAGATTAAGCCCAATTGAACACAAAATTTGGAATACAGGAAGAAAGTTTTTATTTGAACGAATCATACTCTGAGACTAAACGTCGTAGATTTTTCGCACGTAAAAACAATTTAAATCTAACAAGACGAAACACTCTTATCACGTTGTATGTGAAAACAAGACCTTTGAACCTGACAACACATTAAAAGAATCATGGTCCTGATAAAATCCTTCGCCGTAGTAGGCAATGAAACCACGTTTGCCTTCCTTATTCAACAAAAAAGGAACAATTATGACCGATACGAACGCCTGTACTCGTGACACTTAGGGTAAGTACGTTTTATCCATGTGTTGTTGTTTCTTTCAAGTAATGCAAATAACATCCGGGAAAGAATAATAAAAAGTTTTTGGTTACAAATAAAAAAAAATTAAAAAATACATTAATTTCTTTCTAAGTAACGTAAAAAAGGGTTTTGTGTATTGAAGCAATTTTTTTGTTCACCCACCAAAATATCGGACAGGTATCCGCCTGGTTTCGCAAATGTTTTTTGTAAGTTGAAATTTTCCGTTTTTTAATATTTTTATTTCGCCGTTCTACATGCTCAACTTAACTATACCTATATATGTAAATGATATGAAAATATAGTAAAAGCTATCAAAGTTTATCAATAACCAAATAATGACTGAAAACCAAATATTTGGAGGAGAGAGAGAGAGAGAGAGAGAGGAGAGAGAGGAGAGAGAGGAGAGAGAGATCACTACATAGAAATTAATCTTTTTATGTAAGGTTTTTAATTGAAATGAAAAAAGTTGTGCCACGAGCGGGATTCGAATTTCATTTCAATCAAAACCTTGGTCCTAAATATAAATTTTTGTTTGAATTTAAATTTATCGATTTTTTAATTCCATAAAATTTTTCAGATTTTTGAGAAGTAATCAAGGCTAAAAGGATCTTAATGTTAAAGGGACCATTTGAAAGTAGAGAAAAGTAACTTTTTTTAACGACGTATGAACCATTAAAAGATTTCTATAAGAAAATACACAAAATAGTAAAATTATTTGTCGGAAATTAACCTCGTGTTTTTTTAATGGAAACAATGGCCCAATTTTAATGTTTGACACAGTTATAAAATTGCACTGGACAATTTATTGTCATTGACAACGAATTATCGACCATGAAAATCGGAACTCTAGCTTTTGAGAAAAATTATGTTAGTTGTTACATTAGGAATGTCAGTCAGGCAGAGGTCGTCGAAATTATCAGTCAAAAAATTAATTTACACAGATTTCCGGGAAAGTCGGTATCTAAGGGTTTTATAACGCTAGAATTAAGACCATGAGGTCAAATCCAAGTTTTAACCATTTTCTGACCTACTTTGCTTACAGAATGTTTGTTGAATATGCAAAAAAAAAAAACATTTTAACGACGTATGTACCACGTATTGTAATATTACAATGTTTTATTACATAACATTGTAATTTTGTTGATTTATCTTTTTCATTTTTTTCCGAAACCAGGGCCTATTTGCAAGAGGTGGTGGATATTTTGGAGTGTAAAATCTCCAAAAAAAAGTCAAATACGTGTCCCACCAACCTGGTCGTCCCCTTGTCATCCATACAAAATAATTATTTGTCGGGCGTTTTATACATGTAAAATATGTTATCCGGTAGAATATTACTGATGCACGTACACACAGTATGGGAAATATACAGTAGTATATCGATGAGGTGTGTCAAAATTAAATTATTCGTCAGCTGTTTTAAACGTGCAATGTATGTCACGAGGTAGAATATTCTTCTAAGTTTCATAATGGATCTATAGTTTTATATACAACGCTCTATCATTGTTGATCAGCTGTCTTATGTTGGGAACAGTTTGTAAACAATATAAGCAACAAATGAAATTAGAACATACAGCTCATAACTAAGGGTGGAGAATTAGGAAGTTGTTACTTGCTCAATTTTTTTGCCAGCAGTCGGTTTGTTTTGATTGACAGCTTCCTAGGAAAGTGCACTTAAGATGTTTGTAGATGTATAGTTCTTAGAAACTGCAAGATCCCTCGGCTCTCTGAGGATGTCGCCCGATGGCGAAAAGGACGCCGTTTATAGAAAGTGGCCCCCCGGCATAGACAGGAGCAGGATTTATAAATAGACACGAGAAGTGCGCTTCATTCCCCAATGTCAATAAACCCGGTCGCGAATCGCCTTTTGAGAAACATCACAAATTCAAAACACACGGCATCGAACGGGGCGACTTTTTCCTGGACCGAGGCACAGCTGCAGCCCATTTCCTGAGCTCGAACCCTGCACCTGGATTTAGAAAGAACGTCCTTTATACCGTTTTGAAATCCAAATTGAAATCCCCGCGAACATGTCTTGCCGCTTGAAATAATAAGTTAACAAATTCGATCTAATGTTCAAAACACATTCTCGGTGAATTACGAAGAACGATTTATAAAACAATAAACAATCAGGTTTAATTGTGAATGTAAACTAAGCTGTTAACTGAGAGAAATAAAGTGTGCTAATATATGTGCATATAACCTTTAAAGCTGTATTGATCAAAAAGGAAGGACCTGACATTTCTATTAGGCAGGTCCCCAAACCCTCCCTGGCACGGTAAAAACCTGGAAAACACGTCGAACGGTATGGGAACGACAAGAAAAACTGTGAACAGGAGGTTTCGTCGGATATGAGGGCGATGCTAAGTCGATACTAGAAAGATTTTTGATAAAAGAACTCAAATTAGGGATTACCTGTGGCTGCGTATCCTTATGTATTTCTGTACACCCCTTTGTTTTTATTACACTTGACACTGCACGCGGAACGCCGACGACTCGGTGAGAAAGCCTTCAACTGGAAGGCTTTGACATGGAAGTGAGTGGACGAGAACGTGATCTATACTTGCACCTCCTTCCTGTTCCAGCGGACTGTCCGTCGGTCGAGAACTCAAAATATTGTGCGGCATTTTAGCCGCTTGACAGCGCGATTGTCGCGTTTCCACCGGTCCCGGAGCGCGCCGATAGATGGCATCTGTAAAGTTCGTGAACACGGAAAAAAGGACTTCCGACAGGTGGTGAATTTGATCAAATTAAAATATTCCTAATTTAATTATCACAAATATCGTGTTTGCATTCCAGTCAAAATGCGGTCGCTTGTGTTTTGTATTTTTTAATTGTAACTGAAGATGGCGAAATGCATCTAACTTTTTTCTTTTATTATTATTATTTTAGTAAATACTTGCATACTTATAATTTTTTTTGTTCTTTATTGGATATTTTTAAAGAAAAATTATAAGATATAGCTAAATAAAAAAATTCAATTCAACTGAGTAAAACAATTTTACAAAAAATGCTACGGAAATAACGAAGAAACTAATCAATTCAGTACAGATTATTTCCTCTTCTTGCGTTGATCACCGCTTGCATATGTTGAATATTTTCATACTCTTCCATCAGCGCCTTTTTTAATTACTGCAAATAAAACTAGGCAACTTTTTACTCTCTTTGACAACTTGTCCAAAAGGTTTTGTGTAGGGTTTAAGTCGTTTACATACTGGCCACTCCAAACTTTGAATTGAGGTCGTTCTAAGTCTAACTAGTCATCAACAATTCAAGCTGGGCGTGGCCTTGCATCGTCAAGCATAAAAATAAATTATTATTTGGTGATCGTGAGATGTGGTCTGGTGTGATGTGGGTTTAGAAAACACGTCGTATGACACATCTACACAGAAAATAAACACTTTGGGTTGGTGCAAAAACTTCGATTGAATCTAAAATTTCTATCATTGTATAAATTCATTTTTCACATCTTACATGTATTTGTATAATTTAAACAATGTTTATAAATCCCAGGCCTGAAAATGATCTCAATAAAGATCGAAATGTTAGCACAATGAAGAAAATGTTTTTCAAAACCTACATCACAGGAAAGAATTCACAAAAATACAGAGACTTGCATGCATCTGCATAACGGGAGCAATGAGAACATGTCCTGCAATTAGCATGGAAAAAGTACTGGGATTAATCCCCTTACACCACATGGTAATAAGGACAGCGCAGAAAACCATTAATTTTACCAAAGAGAAACCTCCAACAGGAATAAAACAAAAATGGAGAGATAGCAACTAACTATGGAATGACCAACCGATACTCATGGCTCTGAGAGACGACATGAACAGGATGAATTTAATCAAAACTTCCAAATAAACCTAGGTACCAAAAAAGAATGGGAACGAGAGGGAAACTCCTCTTTTAAGAATGGCACCATCCTTTGGTACACAGATGGATCTAGAACACAAGAAGGTACAGGGGCAGAAGTATTTGGACTGGAACCAAATACTCAGAACTCCTGGGAAAATACACCAGTATCTTCCAAGCTGAGATTCATGCAATTGAAAGATGTACCCAACTCAACCTAAGTAAAGGGTACAAAAACAATAATATAGCTATCATGCCAGCAGCCATCAAATCACTAAGCTCAAATAGTTCAAGGATGGTGCTGAACTGCAAAACCAAGCTAAACATATTAGGTAGGCAGAACAGTCAGACTCTGCTGGGCCCCAGGACACATGGGAGTAGAAGAAAATGAGAAAGCGGACACCCTTGCAAGGCAAGGAGCTGCTACACCGCTGACAGGACCTGAACCCTTCTGTGGCATAGGAACCCACACTATTAACGAGTATCTCAGGCAGAAGGACAAAAAGAAAATGAGGGAACTATGGAATTCACTCATTGGACACAGACAATCCAAGAATCTTTTAACCAGTTTTGGAAGGAAAGAAATTGCAGAATGTTTCAAGGGAAGCAGGAATAAACTGTGAATCCTAACAGGACACTGCAAGTTAAATGGACACTTAAGTGGAATAACCCAAAATGGCACATGCAGATTCTGCAAAGAGGCAGAAGTGACACCAACACATCTACTAACAAATTGTGGAGCCACTAGCCCGCAGTAGGAAATGTTTTGGGATGTATAATGTGGCCATAGAAGAGCTTCAACCACTGAAACCGGGCCTGTTAATCAAGTTTCTTGATGAAATAGGACTTGCCGATGTGCTTTAGGCAGAGCACGGGGGATACAATAGCTCTTAAAGGGCGCAGTATACTATACCCTGAAATTACATCTACATTTACATCTAAACCCACATCACACCATACTGCATCTCACGATTTCCAAATAATCATTAATTAACAGTCACTAAACACCTCACATAAAAATAAAACTGTCACCAATTAGTAGAACTTCTTCTGATAACACATCTTCAATGTATCGCGCAGCTGTAAGGGAACACTCGATGAAGATCAAGTTTGTGTGACCTTCTATAGAAATACCTGCCTAAACCATCACTCTACCACCTCCATGGCTTTTCCGGAGTGACACTGTTGAGGGGATATATCGCTCTCCTTCTCTTGGCCGTAAGAAAACCTTGTCTCATCTGCAAGCAAGGTTTTAGTCCAATTTTGCTCAGACCAATTGATGTGATTTCTTGCGAAACTTAAGCTCTTCTGTGCCTTGTTAAAAGTTTTCGACCAGTGGCAGGTCTTCTCGCACATAATCCAGCTTCTGAAAGTCTTCATAATTAATAAAGCGCATACTGATATTAATATTTCTAATTTGTACAAGTCAGTTTGATCTCAATAGCAGTAAAATGTTGATTACAGAGTACATTAGAAATAATAAAATTATCATCTCTGAGATGTGAAATGATAGCGAACTGATCCATGCCTTCTTGAGTTCATGCCTTCCAGTATGTTGGTAGCGATGGAAGTCACTTCAGACAGTTGTTCTGGGAACGTTAATCACCCTGTTGACATATGCTTGACTTCTTCCAACTTCCAACAATGTCTATATTCTAGCCGAATCTATCACTTAAAACCATCACCCAAACAACTTAATAATAGTACAAATTTAAAAAAATCAAACCTCTAACATTAGAAGGAGGCTTTACAGAAAAACCAACCAAGAAAATATTGACTATTCAAAGATTTATTTACAAAATCCAATTGTAAACAAGTGGTATATTTTATCTGTATATTATTTGCCTCTAATCCTTTAAAATGGACCAAATATGTTGGCTGTTGATTGTTATAAGATTAATCAATGAAGGATTGTCTAATAGGTAATGAAAAATATTAAGAGTGGATACTTTTTTTTTTGCCTCTCAGTGTATATAAATAGCTTTATTATAGGAAAGCTGGAAATTGTAACAATTGTCTACTGTTAAGAGCAATTTATTAATAATTGAAAATAAAATAACAACATTAGGCTAAAAAGTGGCGTTAAAAAATAAATTAATTATATATAGCGTATAGTAAAAATAACTGATGTTGGAATGAATATATCTCTTTATATACAAATTATTATTATTAACAATTATTATATATTTTGTTCCTTATAACAATGTGAGATCACAGTATGTTGAGTAATGTAGCCCGTATTGGCAATTTGTTTTCTTATCTACCATTCAACCGTTATTATGTCTCCTTCCTCAACAGAGTAATAGCTTAGTTGCTTAATATCATTATCCAGAGGGATTTTCAATTCTGAATTCTATAAAGAAAAACAGTTATTTTTAATTCGGAATAATTGTATACCATTGGGGTACCTTTGCGCTATGAAGTGTCAATTTTAGTTCAACAGATCCGGTTGAAAACAGTCTTTGTGCAAGTGTGACAAGCTTCTGAATCGACATGTCAGGTGGGAGCCTCTTTATAAGCAAGCACTCGTCTGATTGCAATTTCACTTCTATCAGCCTACTTTTCAACGCTGTAGACTTGACTGCTATTTCTGATTCCTCAATATCTCCGTATTCTGTGGAAAGTAAATATAAGAAAAAGAAACATCACAATTACTTCACCTACTTTTTATAAGCTCTTCGTATCGAGGATGTAAAGCAAGGAATGCTTTCCTGCCTTCCGGATCCTGAGTCGTCTCGAGCCATGTCCGCCCATTGTTCTTGATGTAATCGTATTCAGCACCTTTTCTCTCATCCAGTGGTATTTCTTGAGTGTTCAAAATCTGCGATGATTAAAAAAATAAAATAAAATAGAACAACGATAAAGGCCAAATACTGAATGAACCTTCAATTTGGATATTCTTGCAATAAGAATTTGCCTAGCTGTCTCCCGCTGAATGCCTTCAAGTACAGGATTATCCCTAAATCTGAGTTCTTCTAGAGCTGGCAATTTGTCCAGTTCACTGATACTGCCCCACTAAAAAGGTGTCGGTTATAAACATGCTTTCTTCTATCTCTTGAGCAATAATTATACAAATTTTAATAGAAAAATATGTGCTTTATTTTTCAAATCAATTTATCACCTATTTAATCAAAATGAAGATAGCTATGATTTAAGGAGAGGTCAGATTTTTCTATTATTTACATTTTATGTTAACATGGTTATAACTAAAGTGTTTAACATTCGATCTGCACAAGAAAAAAAACATAAAAATGAATTCTCACCTCTTTTATGAAGTTTCCAGACAGGAGAATGTATTTCAAAGATGGGAATGTTTTACATCTATCATCTATAGATATACTAATAAGGCCTGTGTTGCAAGCATTGAGACATTCCAAACTGCAAAATTGATGCTGTATTGTAGAAATAGAACAATTCAGAAATAAATATTAAAACAAAAATACCTAGGTAAGTAGCCCAACTGGGCAAGATTCTCCCAATGGATTATGTTGTTCCCTTCGACATTAAGCAGTTTCAGACCATGGAAAATATCGGGAGGAGGAGCCTTTAATGTGGTGATCCTGTTGAACGAAACCTGAAAAAAAAAATTATATCAAACAACCATTATACATCGATCAAATTTTTATTTACTTGTAATTTTTCAATCTGAGGCCACATCACAGCACAGTTTAAAATATCATCCCAAGTATACTCCATCCGGCTCAAGACTAGGTATTTGAGGCTGGGAAATGAAGACTTCAGTTTGTGCAAGTTCAATCCATTATAAAACAGCCTGTTTTCACTAAACTCAAAAATAGAATGTTTAACATCAGTAAACTAAATGTTATCAATATTACTTTTATTTTTTTACCTAACATCCATAAATTTGAGATAAGGCAGTTGTGACGTGATTTCACTAATCCCCTGCCATGAATTTATTAGATTCCTCGACAGATCTAACTCAACGACTAGCGGGCAGAGCTTGGCAAGTTCTCCAGGCTCCCCGGCCGAGTTAACTCGGTGCTCCCTCACCCCAATTATAGTAAGGGTCTCATAGCTTGAAACAAAAAATTGCCATTGTTGACATAAAATCCTCTGGAAATGGTAATTGTGCACAAACAGACTTTTCACTGGAGAGTTTTTCAAAGCCGACCATCTCAAACAAAGGTGCATTAAAGGCCCTCTGTATTGACTCTTTCTCCTCAGTGGCCATTATTTGCTCAGGCCCCCCATACCTCTCCTCGATGGCCTGAATTATAGTCTGACCTTGTTGGACTTTCTCCTGCCTGATTAAAGACCCAGACGTGCTGTATCTGAAGGCAGAAGAGAGAAAATGAGATATTAACTATTACCACAATTTAATTTGATACTCATACCTTGCCTGGAAATATCGTACTCCGTCATAAACGCCATCATGCTTGCCACGGCGTGGGTCGTCCCAGTCAATGCCCAGCCAGAGACCCTTTGTAGGAGGAACTGGACCTACAAAAAGAACAGTGCCTCTTTGATCTCCAACTTGAATCCTACTTCCAACTTTCACATCGCAGAAATTCTCCATTCCGCATACGACCATCCTTTAGAACCTGAAATGCAAAACAACGCTGTAAAAAGTAGATATGTGGATGAATCATCATCAATTGGGCATTTTTTGGAGATGGATCTGATGGAGATGAGATATATCATCTTCTACAATGACTACATAACCTAATTCATTTCTTAAAACAGTTTAAATTGTATGCTTAAAAAAATAATTTTAAATAGTTCAAGTTCCATAATAACTGAAGAAGCTTAAATGCATAAACCAATTGCAAGAACTTTTATAATACACATATATATTTTTAATATTATTTCTTTTATAACATTTTTTTAAATTTATTTAACATACAAAATACAGCAGGGTCACAATAACACAAACACTATGGATGCCTTGCTATGTTTTTACCACTCAACATGACAGCAGTATTCAACCCATGGACCAGAATGTAATACAGAGCAAGAAATTGTGCTTTTAAAAAAATTTTACTTTCGAACACTCTTGCAGTCAATCAACGTGGAGTTGCCTTGGTGGCAGCTTGAAAGAAAATTAATCTGAAAGATGTCATTTTCAACTCAGCAAATTGCTGGGTCATTCATCTAACCACGTTTGATTCAAATATCTTGGAAAAATCTTAATCCAAACTTGGTTGCTATTGACGATACCCCTACATCTAATGAAAATGACATTATCCTTAGCCCACTTGCCATTCAGTTGACCCAAGATAACATGACCGAAACTGAATCTGAGGATCAACAATAAGCATCAGGTGTTTGTAATGAAGAAATAGCAAACCAAGGAATTTTAACTGATGAAAAAATCATGCATACTGCTACTAATGAAGAAGCAGAAGAGAACTTGATGAAGAATTTTCCCCTTCAACAACATCTGCTGAAGCTGTTCAAACTCTTAAAACAGCTATTGGACCAAGTACAACTTAAAGAGCAGTGAGGAAGTCATGTTGCTGAGATGCATAAAAGGTAGAGCTTTCTTTTTCCTCTTTTACAACTACATAAATAATTAAAATTGGAAGTTACAATATATCATATTATGTACATAATAATTATAATTTTGAATTTATCAATAAAATGTTTAATATACAAGTGTCATGTCAATAAAAAGCTACAGTTAATCCAAATGAATCAATAATCGGAACAACCCCTTTCCCCAATTCCGTGCAAATTATCATGACCCTGTTAAAGCTCTTAAAACGGTTATTGGACCAAGTACAACCTAAAGAGTATTATTAATTATGTGTATGTATTATGTATGTTTTGTGATAACTTGTTAGAATAAAAAAGGAGTAATGTCCTAACAATTAAAGAATAACACTATATATCAGGTTTTCAGGAAATTTGTTTTAGACAGATTGCATAATAAAAATGTTTCCCTATTTGGGATAGCCAGTCAGCCTAGCTGATAATAAACAAATGTCACGTTAGTAGGCAAGATGTTAACGTTACAAAAGTTCTTTGAGATAAAACCTGATATTAAAAGTCAATTTTATGCAAATGCTTGACATTATATAACAAAAACTTTATATAACGAAGTATAACAACAACAAAAATTGTTGTAGGAAATAAGTGATTAAAAGGGAGAAAAGAAAATAAAAGGGAGAAAGAGAACATTGCTAAATCACTTTAAATACGCAAATATACAACGACAATAAATAAAAGTGCCAAAACAATTAAAACTAGTTTCAAGGTTGGTTGGAGGCATGGCTTGGAAATTGTGGAGGGAGAAGTTTTTGTTTCAGTCAACTGCAAGACTTCGAGGCCTCGAAACCCTGGCTCATTCTGACTCCTGATTTCACAATTCCAATGAGTTTGAATGATTTGTCTTTTGCCCCTCTTGTGGGTGCAATAGACGCAGGTACAAGCAGTGTCAGATTTCTGGTGAGTACAATGGCAAAAATGAATTACTGAATTTGAATTATTTGAAAAATTTGCATTCATATCAATGATTTACATAACAAAATGAATCAGAAGTTTCAATATGTGCCATTTCAACATTTTTTTATATGCCTGAATGAGAGTTTGAGTTAATATTCTTAATCTCAAATGATATTAGATATCATTTTTATGTTGTAAAGTAGCTATAAACTATTGATTATTAAACTGAATTGAATTTGAATTGAAAACTTTTAAAAAGTTTGTAATGGGCATACATTTATATTGTAATTTAAATAAATTGTTAATTTCATTGGCCTTTCTGAAGATAGAATTTAAATGAAAAAATTTATTTATTTTTTTCTATTTTCATTTAAATTCTGCCTTCAAAAAGGCCTAAAAAATAACAGAATAATTTTTATCTATACAAAGAAAAGGAAGGACAACAACAACAAAGAAAGAATAATAATTATTTTGAAAAAATATATACACAAATTTAAAAAAATGTTGAATTCAATAAATCTCTGAAATGCAAGGAATTAAACAGGAGGAAGAAATATAATTTTAATATGATCTTTGTTATCCTCTTTTTCAAATAAATGATGTCTTTTATTTGTTTTCCCTTAAAGAATAAATCAAGTGTCATTGCTGATTAGTGTGCATTGATATAAAATTTGATGATCCTTTAATTCCCATGAAATAAAGTTGATAACACATTAATCAGTATTATCTTCATGTCAATTCATCTTCATGCAATAGTTAAAATTTTAATATCAAATAAAAAGAACTTTAATTTTAGCAAATGAACCTTTATTTAAAGTTATTAATCATAAACTAACATGCTAAGCTGATTTTAATCTATCCATTCATGGCAAATAGTTAATTAACAAACTAAACTTAAAAACAATCATTTAAAATGAAAGATTCTTGTAGGTATTTAGCTCAGAAACATTTCAACCAATCGCTTCACATCAAATCCCACTAACAAACATTTGTTTGAAAGAAGGATGGGTCGAGCAGGACCCTTTAATTATTTTGAGGGAGGTCAAAAACTGTTTGGAAAAGATAGTAGAAAGGCTCAAAGCAGAGGGTATCGATCCTTCACACATTGCTTCAATTGGCATTTCAAACCAGAGGGAAACAACAATCGCTTGGGATAAAGAAACAGGACAGCCACTATTCAATGCATTAGGTGAGAATTTCATGATTGGCAGTTTTTATTATGGTTATTTGTTTAAATTTGTTCACAGTATGGTGTGACACGAGGACGACAATTATATTGGATCATCTCCTTGAAAATGTGCCCTCCAAGAATAAAGATCATTTTAAAGAGATTTGTGGCTTGCCTATGTCGCCATATTTCAGTGCTTTGAAAATGAGGTGGCTCCTTGATAACGTACAGCCAGTCAGAGAGGCCTTGGAAAGAAATACTCTCCTGTTTGGAACAGTGGATTCCTGGCTCATATGGGTCTGTTGTTTATAAATTTGTTTCTTTATAATTATTTATTTGTTTTTCATCTGGTTTGAAGAACCTAACAGGAGGCACAAATGGAGGAGTACATATAACAGATGTCACAAATGCAAGTCGGACAATGCTCATGAACTTATCAACCCTACAATGGGATCCCAAAATGTGCAAGTAATGAGACATCCATTCGACTTAATTGTCTGCTGAAACAATACAATTTAATTAACTACTAAAATGCAGAAAGTATTTTTGAATGTTTTCATTGTTAATAATTAATTCCTCATAAATGGAAGAGATTTCATATATTTTTTAGGAGAGATCTATTACAAAAAAATCACACGAATAATAAATTTTTGCTTCACTGCCTATTGAGCAATAAGTCCCTACAAAATGTTATCCAAATGCAAATGCTTTTTTTTATGGTAAACAAACTGGATTGTGCAGGTTTTTAGACATTCAAATGCATCTTCTACCAGAAATCCGCAGCTCTTCGGAAATTTATGGTAAACTCGTTTATGGAATGTTGAAGGGTACACCAATAGCAGGAGTGAGTTATAACATACCTATTAGTGAACTGAGTTCCTCTTAAATATAAATTATAAATACACCATACATTTCTAAACAAAACAAACTTACATTAAACTAAGGCAAATACACATTAACTTCCAATTTAAACTTATACTTGATAATTGAAACTATTTGTGGTATTTCAGTGCTTAGGTGATCAGCAAGCAGCTCTCTTAGGGCAGAAATGTATTACAAAGGGGCAGGCCAAAAGTACATATGGAACAGGGTGTTTTCTTCTTTGCAACACCGGGACAGAGGTAGTGCATTAACAATTTATTTTATTTATTTATTTAGAAATCGTGAGATGTGGTCTGGTGTGATGTAGGTTTCAGAAAAACCTTTTCTTTATCATGCCAATGTTTCGATCTTTATTGAGATCATCTTCAGGGCCTGGGATTTACAAACATTGTTTACATGTTTGTATATTATATTAATATTATATTATATTAATATGTAATATATTACATATTACAATTACATTTTGGATGTGGAAATGTGAATTTATACAATGCAAAATACATTTTATATATTCAATCAAAGTATTTCTACTCACTCAAAGAGTTTGTCTTCTGTGTAATTGTGTCATTCTTGCGTGTCGTGTCAAGCGTGCCAGTGAGATTTTGCTATTTTGTGTTTATATACGTTGGATTTTGAAACCTACATCACACCAGACCGCATCTCACGATTTCTAAATAAATATCAATTAACGGTCACCAATCACCACACAAATTTATTTAATTGTATATGGCTATAATAAGGGGGGTAGTAATTACAGGAAATCTAAAAAATTTTATCATGTTTATTTTGTTATTGCAAAGTTAAACGAGATTAGAAGATAAATAATCCACTTAAAAAAGAGAATCTAGACAAGGAAAAACAGCATTTGCCTGTGGCTATATATTTATTTAAAAACTATATATATTGTATATATAAATTTTAAGAAATGGTTGTTTTTATAGTTACATCAATCATTTGTTTTGTCAATTTATTAATTTGCATTTTTTTTTAAGATTGCACATTCTACTCATGGGTTATTGACAACAGTGTCTTACCAACTTGGAAAAACTGCACCAGTTTGTTATGCCCTTGAAGGATCTGTTGCAGTGGCCGGTTCAGCGTTTGCTTGGCTCAAAGATAATCTCACTTTGATCGAAGAGATGAAAGATGTTGAAAAACTTGCCAAAGAAGTACAACATTCTGATGACGTATACTTTGTACCCGCTTTTTCTGGACTGTTTGCTCCTTATTGGCAACCAAATGCAAGGGGGTATTTCTTTACTTTTCATTAAAACAATCAAAAGGGAATTAATCGATCTAATTTGAATAGTGTGATATGCGGAATCACGGAAGATACAACAAGGGCCCATATTTTAATGGCAGCTTTAGAAGCGATATGTTTCCAAACGAGGGATATACTAGAGGCTATGTACAAAGACTGCAATATTTCGTTTTCAAAGCTAAAAGTTGATGGAGGGATGATAAAGAACAATTTATTAATGCAACTTCAAGCTGACCTCTGTGGCGTTCCAGTAGGTAAGATGAAATATGTACAAAATAAAAATAAATCGAAATTAAAGCCTGAGTAATCTGAAAATTTTATATTATGACTTTTTTTACTAAAACAAACAACTGAATTTAGATTAATATGTTCGAGGCTGAATTAATTTCACAATCACTTCTATTAAAATTTAAAAATATGATGTTGATTAAACATGCATTGAGATAGAATTGTAAAATTACATTACAAAATAAACAAAAATTATTTTAGTAAGGCCTCATATGGCAGAAATTTCTGCTCTCGGAGCTGCACTAGCTGCAGGGCTTGCTTTAAATGTAATCGATTTCAAAAATATCACACAATCTCCCAGTGATACTTTTTATCCTCAGATAACAGATGAAGGTAATAAATAATAAAATAATATCAACAAATTGTTATATTTATGTTTTATTTTGTCTTTTCTAGAACGTGATTACAGATATTCCAAGTGGAAATTGGCCATCGAAAAAAGTTTGGGATGGGACATATAGACCCAAATAAACTCATCTGTGAACTGTATATTACATTTAAAGAATAATTTCACTAATAAATGTTTTATCAAGAAAAGAATTTTCATCGACTCAATTAATGTCATTTTTAAAGGAAACTGAAAACTATTATATAGAAAAGTCGGCAAAATCACATTATAAAACTATAGAACTTATTATATTCACCAAATGTCAATTTTATACATTTCAAGTTAATTAGTTGATATGATTTTAACCATTAATCAAAATTTGTTTTTAATTTTTAATTAAGTTGCTTATCTGCATTAAACATTTTCTAGTGAAGATCGTAGATGAAACTGGGACAGCTGAAACATCGGTTTTTTTAATAGAAATCATGAATCGGAAACCATAGAAAATCTTGATGATTTAGTTGTCCCAGTTCCATCTACAATCTTTATTAGAATTTTTTAAAACTTAGTATTAACTGTTGCGTATTGCAGTAGTTTTAAACATTATATANTAATAGGGTATTTTAACTAAGAGTTTGTGTGAACCATCAGGGTGCTGGTGTTTTTGAAAAAATATTATTATTACTGGATTACAGTGATGAGTGCCATGTCAACACCTTAATCATTATGGCCACCACGCTCATAAAAAATTATTACTGATCATCACCGAGTCTTAATTTTTTAAATATTTGTTCAGACCTATTTTAGATTAATGCCCTCCTTTTCAGGAGTCTGTATCTGATACTGTGCTTATCTACTATACACATTCCTAATGGTTAGATAATGATAATTTTCACGGGTTAACTTGACCCTTTGGCCAATTACTACTACACATATTTTTAAAGGAAATGGATTATTCTTATTTTAAAAGTACAAATTCCTTCGCAATATTTTCTCTTTTAAAGTTATCTAAATTATTGGTTTTATCACTTAATTTCATACATTTTAGACCCATTAAATTAGGCCAAATGAATATACACAGTAATATTTTTGCCTAATTTACATAATACATTTATTTAAATGTAATTAAATGATTGTGGGGCTAGACATTTCCAATTCTTGATACGAATGAAAAACCTATTCCATAAACCTGTTGCTTAATCGACCTGATGCCCCTGTTCTGAAAATTCTACCTGGTTTTGTCTGTCAAAACTATTCATACCTTACCATAATTATTCAGAAGAAATCGTGAGATGCGGTCTGGAGTGATGTAGGTTTCAGAAAAACATTTTCTTTATTGTGCCATCGTTTCGATCTTTATTGAGATCATCTTCAGGGCCTGGGAATTACATTGTTTACATTTAACAAATACATTTAGGATGTGGAAAAGTGAATTTATACAATGCAAAATATATTTTTTTATATAAATTCACTTTTCCACATCCTAAATGTATTTGTTAAATGTAAACAATGTAAATCCCAGGCCCTGAAGATGATCTCAATAAAGATCGAAACGATGGCACGATAAAGAAAATGTTTTTCTGAAACCTACATCACACCAGACCGCATCTCACGATTCTGAATAATTATCGATTAACGGTCACTAATCACCACACATTCCTCACCATAATGTTTTCACAATCTAACACCGCAATGTAAAACTACAGTAGAAATGCTACATATTTTATTCAGTTTATTTTATCAAAATTGTGCACATTTGAGTTGTAAAAATTGTGTTAACACGACTAATATTAATTTATAATATTGAAGGCTGATATTAATTATGTATGAAAACTACATTCACCAAATTGTTTTTGTTATTATTTTTAAATAAAAGCTAAGAAAGATTTTTTTTTAATACATGTGATTATTTTAAGTAATAAACCATACATGTTTAGCAGTAATTGACCATATTAATTATTTCAATTCATTGTTCTTTTCATCTCAACCAAGAAATTAGATAAAAACAATAATTAATTGAAATTTTAAATAATAATCACTTCTTACATTTTACTGTAAAAATGAAGCCACTTTACCAAAGGGATTTTCCAAAGACAAGAACAACATTAATAATTAAAGCAAATATTGTAACAAAATTTATGATTTTTAATGATTTATCTAAATGCAATATTACTATAACAAAAGAGAAATCTTGAACACTAAAACTACCAACATTTAAAATTTTCCTTGAAACCAGTCGAAATGACATATTTTATACTTATAGATTTTCTGTTTTATTAACTAATGTTATTTAATTGATAGTTTATGTTTTGTGCAACAAAGGGACTTTACACAAGTCCCTAAGTAAACATTAAGTAAACCAGATGATATGTAGTATCAAAGTACAGAGTGAAATCATATTGAAATTAGTTGTGCCTCAAGTCAACACAATAGCTCTGAGATTACAGCACTAATTTTCAATTTATGGCAAGACATCCTCCAAATATGATGTGATAGGCTGGGTAAATAATACAAAGCAAAACACAACAAAAAACACAAAAATGCAAAGGCTCATACCTTCACATAATTAAATACATATTCAGACCCCATGACGAAAAGTACACCATATTTCATAGGGATGCTAGCACAATTAACATGTGCTCAATTTAATATGAACAAAAGATGCAAAAATTAAGACAGCTATCTTATTGGCTAAGACTGCTCGAAGGTTCTAAATTGCAAAGTCAAACTGAATACCTTGGAAACAAATATTCCTCTTTCACTGGATTACAGAAATAAGGGAATGTACAATATTGGACGTTCTCCTGTAAAGAAGACATACGCTAATATTGCCCTTTTGTAGAATAAGAACATGACTTTTATGAGTAGAAAGGTGAAAATGCTGCCAAAACACAGACAATTTAAAAGCCTCCTTGCAGAATTTGATTAAAAAAGAAATGTGTGGTGATTAGTGACCGTTAATCGATAATTATTCAGAAATCGTGAGATGCGGTATGGTGTGATGTAGGTATCAGAAAGAAAATGTTTTTCTGATACCTACATCACACCAGACTGCATCTCACGATTTCTGAATAATTAAAAAAGAAAGTTCAGAATCAGTTGTGTGGTCACTCGGATCATTTAAATCTGTCAGATATATTTTGCTCAGTGAAGATGATGAATGGTAACTGAAGATTGTGAGATGCCAAAACATTAATACAGCAAAGATAAACAGGGCAAAATGATCAGAAATGACAAGCTTCACCCAGATCTCAAGAATTTTAACGACTATCTTGACAATGATGTACATTTGAAAATTATTGACACCCCTCAACAAGGATTGTGAGATTCTGCAAGAAGACAGGGAAAAAGACACATTTACTATTTACTATCACCGACAACACAAGAGAGGAAGAAATGGTACCGCAGACAAAGCTGGAGGGCACAGAACATGCACATAAGGCAGCGAAAGCCAACAGACTTTACTATTGTAAACCGACTCACTGATGCTAAACAAGAAATATGGTAAAGTAGTACATGGTAAAGAAAAAGCGGCCCCCCGAGAGCCTAAACAACATTAGAATCAACCTAACCCTACTCAAAATTGGCCATACACGGTTGACACATGACACTTTTTTTTTTGGGTCAAAGTTTGCATTAGTGTCAAGCATGTAAATAAAGGTTGCTCAATGTGTATCACTTAATTGAAGGATGCCATTGGTTCTATAAAAAGAGCGAGTATGAATTCCACCCAATCTAAGAATTGTGAAAGAATGGCAAGTGGTCTCTTTGTACATATAGATTCTTTTATTTCAGTTAATCTTATTACTGTACATATCAAAAGTTTGGGTATAGATATATTTTGCGTTATCTCTTTCATGAGACTGTATTTATAAGCATCAATGTGTGCATAGTACAAGTGTCGATGGCGTAATATCAAGTGCCACATCAATCCTCAATTAAATTAGTTAGTGAGAAGTTTATATTTATAAAAGATGATGGAGGAATATCGAGAACTCAACCACCCACGTGAGTGAATGGTATGTAAGTATGAAAGAATGTATTTAAACTATATATATATTTATTAGTCATAATTGATCATATTAATTATTTAAATTAATTATACTTTTTATCTAAGATTTTGGTTGAGATAAAAAAAAGCCAGTCATGAGCGGGATTCGGACCCATGATCTTCAGTTCAATACGCCACTGCCCTAACCATCTGAGCTATCATGATGACAAGTGGCAAGAGCAGCGGCATGTACTTTTTCATCTCAACCACGAATTTAGATAAAAATTATAATTAATTTAAATGTATTTAAGAATGAGTGAGAGAGAGTAGCATACTTAAACTAAAAATGCATGGTTGAAATGACCTTGTTGTCAATACCCCATGGTACAGATAAGACCGAGGACTGACCATCGAAACACCAGAGTGGATAATTCTCAGAAGTCATATGTTCGATCCTACACATATTTGTATACATATGCATATACATAGAGCTTGTACATACTAATCAATCAATAATTTGACAATTTATAAACCATAAAGTTTTAAATCGGGCTGGTATTGGCACATTATTTATATTTACGAGTACCCATCAATTTAACGTGTATTATTTTTAATAAAAATAAAAACTGTGATAATGTTATGACATAATAAATATATGAATACTCACATTTACAGTGGGGACGAGAAGTTTTCTTTTTTCGAAAGTTAATACCTTGAATTTGAGTTTTTTTTTGTTTATATGTCCAAGAAAGGCAAAGGGCAGATGTGTGTCGATATGGATAAAAATGTGTTCGGCCTCCGCCGTTAAAAAAAAAAAAATGACGAGAGAAAATCAAAAACTTTGTTAAAAATGTTTCTCCCTTTCGTTTACAAGTTAAAAATATAACAATAACGAAATATCAACCTGTTTTAACTATGAAAACACTGCTTTTTTGATCGTCAACAAAAACAAAACGTATAAGTCAATTTAAATAATAAATAAAAAATAAGTGAAATTAAAAAATGAAAAGCTTAAGAAATGATGATGGTTGCGAAAAAGGCCGCACGCCGTTTTGTGACAATTGTCATGACGGTTTAAAGGAGCAGAGCGTCAACGTTGACACTTGTGGTCAAAAATTATAACCGGTGCGTAACCTCCCGCGTTTGCCAGCGATTTGAAATTTCTAGCATCCTCCAATAAAGTATAAATCGTGGCCGGTGTCGATTTTCTTCCTTCAAATGCCCGCAATGAACAGAATAATCGAGAAATTAAGGGATTTCGACGCCTATTACAAACCTATAGATGACCAGCATTTCCACGAGAAGACTTTTATAGGGGGAACAGGTAAATTTCACGAGTTGACAAAAAAATTGTGGATGACTTCCAATTCTGTCATGCCCTGATGGAAAATCGCTCCGGATTCGTGCCTTTAGCTTTTGCCTGCAAGTAAACGGGAAAATACTTTTTTTTTAACATTCCTGCTAAATCGATAGTCGGACATTCAAATTATCTGCCTATGGAAAACAGAATTATTCCTGTTCGACCTGCAACCCAGTGCTAAGGAATTATCACACGCAGATAACTTTTTCTCGCACATTTCTGACCAATTACAACGTTTAAAAGGTGTAATTCTACAGAAAAAAATTGTAAATCGAGAAATACTGTTTAATAAAATCCTCGTATCTTAAACTACTATTTTTTTATGAGGGTTGACAACAGCAGAGGTCAAATCAACTCTCGAGGTACTTGTGTTTTTGATAAAAGCCCATTTGTAAGTATCCAGCGGCTGCTGGATTCAAACCCGACGCCTTTACCTTTCAGTGATGAGCACTGCTGTATCATTAACCGTTGCGGCCACCAGTGGTTCAGTTTACTAATTGATTATATAAACCATGATTTATAAAAATTAAAAAAAACAAGATTAGAACAATATTCATATGTTGTTATTGGAATTTGATTTCCCACGGTGAACTGTAAGAATCGCCAACTTTGTTCATTTTCATTGAAGATAGGTTCTAGGTCTATCGACTGCTAGGTTGCTTAATCCCCCAATGTAAACTTGTATTCTGATACACCTCTTAATGGATTCATTGTTATATCCATGCCATTCACTTCAGACAAATGAAGTAATTGATATTCCTCATTCATAGACCATCATGACATAATATATGAAGAAACACAATTAAGTCTTTTTCATTACGAGATGTGAGAAACCTTGGTGTGTGTATTGCTCATAGTAAAATTAATAAATAGTAATAATATATACTTTATTGCTACCAAATGTTATAAACATTACATAATCACAAACATAATCTGCAGTGTATCCTCTACCCAGAGCATTAACTTCACCAGCACATTCTACACCCAAAATGGTACAAAAAACACTATAAACCATGGTGTGATTCTTAACCCTTTCACAGATATTAAATTTGAAAAAAAAAATCAACTATCTACAGTTTTCGTCATAAATCTACCATAGATCTTGAACTCATTTTTGGGGAAATCCAAGCAAAAGCTTCGAAAATAGAATTAAATTTTCCTTTTGAATGCACCCTCCTAGAACTTTCAATTTAATTTTTAGTGAAAAAACAAACATTAATTGTTTAAAAAAAAAATTGCCGAATTTAAAATTTATAAGAAAAACTAAATTAGCAACCTTGTTGGAAAAATTCAAGGTAGTTAGGCAAATCTCATAACCACTTCTTTGTTCAATAAGCTTTATAGTGGTATTCCCTTTTCTTTAATTACATCGAACCAAATGCAGAAATTGTATGCTAAATGGGAAAAAAGTGGTGACGGTGTGAAAAATGGGAAATGGGGTTAACGTAGTAATTTTACTTTTTGCCCTGGGCAAAATTCATTTCCCTACTTTAACTTAATAAAAGAAAGAAAAATAAAACAAAAGACAAAAAAGAGACAATAAACATATTAACAACCAAAGCAGTAAAATTGGACAAATATCTGCACTAAACACAGAAAAAAATGCAGACGTTGTAAAAGTCAACATTAACTTACTAAAAAAGCACAAAAAAGAGAAAAATTTAGAAATTTCACAAAAAGAGATATAATAAACATTGTGAACAGCCAAATTACATTGAATTTTTCTCTCCTTGTGCTTTTTTCAGGTAATCAGGATGTTAGAAGAGTTTAAAGATGTAGTTAACATGAAGTTTGAGGGTACACAAAAATAACTGGTTGTTTTTAGTTTCTAAATAAATCGTAAAATTTGGAGTGGTTTTGGGCAGTGCAAATAACTTTCTAATAAAAAAAAAATTCAAGCTGTACAAATTTTTCATAGAAAAAATAAGTTTGTCATCTGATTCTCGTATTTGCCATAGTAGCCTGGTCTGCTGTTTTGAGAAATATTTAAAAATAATAATGGTCACTCAACAGGTAGTTGGTATGACAGGAATTATTTTGCTTCTGCTGATTCATACTAGTATCCTTGGTGGTATTCCTTCCAAGAGCTGGGAAGCCATGTGTGTGTCAAAAGGAATCTCAATAGAAGACAAAATCACAAAATACCCTTCTTTATTGAATTTATTTTTCTTATTGAATAAATTATGTACATAAAAAATATAATTTTAAACTGTAGGGACAGAAAAGAATGTATAGCTCAACACACCGTTTTGGTGGGAGTGGTAGTGCTGGGCTTATTTTCCTGAGTCACATCTTAGTCCTTGGTAAACTCCAGTGGCTTTTATAAAAAGCTACTCATATTATTGCAGGAAAGTCCAAAAAGCCCTTTCCTGGCTGAACTAGCTGGCCAGGAAGGGATAGAAACAGCAGAACAAGTGATGTGATTCTGGATAGCCTTTCCCTGGGTCACCACAGCTTGCACTAATATTTAAAACAACTAAATCCTCATTTTAAAAAGAGGCTGAATGGGGAATGCCGAAACGAGCTGCATTTTTCTAGCATGATTTGGTAGAAAATCTACTTATTTTTATTGATCGTGTATTCAATAACAATTAACTAGCAGTCAGCTAAGCTTTTCACCCTGGTATAGTTTAGCATACTTTTCCTTGACTAGTGGGGTGAGGTTGTGTGGTGCAAAGTATCAGCGGAGGAATGTCTAATTAGTATAATAATAAACAGCAGGGTGAATGTTTTGGAATACACCCTGGTTGCAGTTTGCCCGAAGACATAAAAATTATTGGTTAATCAGCTTAAATACAAAATAAATTGCGCACTGGCACATAGCCACCTCATAAAATGGTACAGTTTAGATAGAGTTGTTTCTTTTCTTTTCGCCAAAGTCCTATGGTGAAATGTCAGGTGCATACCGGACACCTGATGTGTCAACAAGAGGATGGCTAGTTAGACAATGTAATATACTATTATTAAATGATATTGAATAATGCAGCGAATAATGTAGAATCACAATGCTCCATTTGCTCAAAAGCATGTGAAGAATAGCAATAAGGTTTTACTAGCCCATAATAAACATAAATAAGTTGATATTTTCTCTAGTGGTCTGCAGGGAAAAAATCCTTTTTATATAATAAAGATTTGATATAAAATATGTTAAATCTGCGAGATGATGAACCTGTAGGTAGTTTGGTCATCAAGGTCTAGATAGGTCGTGAACTAGGGGACATACCACTGTACAATATATAATTTTTCATACTGTAATCAATTAAAAAGTGAGCTATGCCAGCACTCAAACCCAGAATTGCTAGCTTGGCCCTTACCGCTTGGCCACCGTGGTCCCCAAGCCTCAGAATGGTTTTTGATCATTAGACCCAAAAGTAGCAAATATATCATACGCATAAAATCCCCAGTATGGATAAATTCAAGATTAATGAGAGTTAAAATAATTTATTCTTTAATTTAAATAAACTTAATTAAATAGGAAATTTAAACAACGGTTAAACTCTGTTTTTCATTTAGCTCAAATAAATGTTTCCTCTTGCATTTATTTTAATGTTAATAAATACACAATACATTTTTTATGATAATTTTAGAAAAATAGTTATGATTATTAACAGTAAGCAGTTTTATTTAGTTATTTTAAGAAGCGAAGACCAATAAAACATCCAAAGGTTTATCATTACGGTTGAGGCATTTGTCATATAGTGGTACCAGGTGTGATTTTTAGCGTGGACTTCAGGATTTTCTGATCATTTTTACATTATATAACTTTTATTATATAACTATAATATAATTAAAGTTTTGTTAACAACAGGAGAGTGTAAAAAACAAATTGATAAACAAATTACTTTGGCAATTTGACAAACAATGATGGTCAACATGTTAAATCTCTTGTAACATATATAATATAATTACCAACTATATANAAATTATCCAAAAGAAATTTTATATGTTTTTAAAATTGTATAGCTTTAAGAACAGGAATAAGACTCCTCACAGCATTAGAACTGTAATAAATTAATAAAGGCAAAATTGTACAACATATATTCTATGAAATTCTTTCTGCTGATAGAAACTTATTAATTTATCATATCGCAATATTTCCAAAGGAAAAATCCAGAAGAAATATAAAAATATATATTTATTTTTTAATACAAATTTTTTAACCATTCAACAGATATGATAAAACAGACATGCAGTAGATTTTGTAAAATCTATTTCGATTGGGGTTTACTAAAAATAATTGCATTTCTTCCTCAAGTTTGATAGAAAAAATTGGATTTTTGAAATATTAATAATTTAAATCAATTTGAAATACTTAGCACTTTCTTAGTTTGAATCAATAGATTACACAAAAATTTGTAAAACATTTAAACATTAATAAACATTTTATATATATGAGGCTTCAATTTAATTAAGTCATGGCATGGTATTTAATTTATTTAAAGTCATCAACTGTCTCAGGAATATTTGATTTTGAAGCTTACAATTGTTTTAGTTTCTATATTATGCTGGGTTAGTATTTTTCTACTGTCAGGCATGCGGTTGCATGAACATTGTACAGGAAAGCAAACAGTCGAATCAATATATGTCGATTCATCTAGGAACCCAAAGTTGCAAATAAATTTTGACTTTATCATTCCCCGGATATCGTGTCCATGTGAGTTTTTTTCACATTATTTATTTCTTCTCGAGTTACGCCCAAATTTTGTTTTATAGTATGTCCATGTTCGAATAGATATATCGCTTGATGCCATGGATGCCTCAGGAGAACAGCATTTACACATTGATCACAACATTTATAAGCGTAGATTAGATTTAGATGGAACACCGATTCAAGAGCCCAAGAAAGAAGGTAATGAACGTTATTGACATGCCTTGGATAAATGTAATAAATAAATAAATTTTTTATTTGAAATGTAGAATTGGCGAAGAAAGAAGTAATCAAAGTAAGTGCACTATTTTAAGCTAATTTTCAGATTTCAATATTTAATTAGATAAAATAAACAATCAAGGGTACAACTACGACAACACCTGTATCAGTAGAAGTGACTACACCAAAGTGTGGGAGTTGTTACGGAGCAGAAGATGCAAACAATCATGAAAAAATGAACATAACGTACTGACATTATCATTTATTATAATTTTTTTTAAATATTGAAATTTTATTTTAATGTTTGTTCATAGGTGTTGTAATAAATGTGAAGATGTAAGGGAAGCTTATGCAAAGCGAAGATGGCATTTTTCCGAGACAAAAGTTGAACAGTGCAAATCATCTGCTTCTGTCGAAAAAATAGAGAATGCATTCAAAGAAGGCTGCCAGATATACGGCACCATGAGCGTTAACAGAGTAAAGAAACTACCGCATTTAAGTGTTCTTTCCCATTTTCAATTTTTATAAATGTTCCTTTGTTTTAGGTAGCTGGGAGCTTCCATGTGGCCCCTGGGCAAACCTTTGCAGTAAAACATATTCATGGTAAGTAAAATAGGCCAAACTATTCTAATATTTTTATGATTCTATTTCAAATAATATAATGTCTCATATGTCCAAAAAATATCAGTATAACATATACAGAGATTTCATATTATATTGTTAATTTGTCATTGATACATGAAGTAACTAGGAGTATAATTTTTAATACTCTATCCAATTTTTAGATTTTATATTGGTTTATCGATTATTAAGTTAAAATTTAAATAAAAGTAGCCTTCAGTGCAATTTGAAGACACTTTTAATTTAATAATCACTAGTTGGGGGGGGGGCTCCATTTTGAAATTTCAAATAACTTGTATTGTTAGTTATTACTGCAAAATTTATATATGTATACCTATCAAAGCTATTTTATTCTATTGTTGGCGGTTTATTGTGACATAAAAATATATACTTCACTATTTTTTAATATATGTACATAGTTATACATATAGTATAATCCACAAAAATACCAAGTTTAATTATTCAATATGTTCTGTATGTATGCTTGTACAAAACTGCATTTATATTCTTAATAACGTATAACATTTTTTACAGTTCATGACATTCAACCTTTCTCATCCTCTCAATTTAACACAAGCCATGTGATAAATCGCCTTTCATTTGGTGATGATGACAAAGGTAAAACTCATGAGAACCCATTAGATGGTACACAGTCAATCACAAAAGAAGGTAAGCAGAAACATTTTTATATCAAAACAAATTCTTTACAATTTATTTACATAAGTGTAATGCATGGACAAAAAAAAAACATTACAAATAATAAAAATGCATCAAAACAGAAATTGTAACAAAAACTATATTTTGTTTAATCTAAAGAACTTTTCTATTTTTTTTTTTTTTTTTGCTTTCTATGCTTCTCATTTCGAAAATTTGTCTTTCACCCAGCATTTTCTTCCTCATAAAGCAATCAACATCTAATTCCGCTTCCAATGGCCATGAATGTGCCAAATGTCCCTCCTCCCTGAAGCATTGTCTTTCCAACATTGTTAACAAGCTCCCGTCCTCTTAAACCATATCTACAAAAGAAATAAAGTATTTAATGTTTACCATTCATTTTAACTGTTTATATAGCTAACATTTACAAACAACTCTGACGAAGAAACCTTTAATACTTCTCCAAACTAATTAACAATTGCTATAATATTTTTATTATAATATTATTGAAGTTGTGCGAGTTATTAAACAGTTTGCGATTGGCCCTGACTTTATTGATGCTGTTTTGATCTGACACATTCCCTGAATAAGCTGAACAGTGTCTGTCCAAAATTAAACAAATAAAGATAACCATTGTGACAAGAGCAATCAAAAATGGATGTGGCAGTACTGATTTTGACTTTCAAGGAAACCAGAAAACTTTCCAAGTCATTCAATTTAAAATAAAGGCTTCAAATCTGCCAAACAGGGCACTGGAAATTTCTTTAATTTTACAATCTTGGTGATCTGAAATGTCACCCAACACCTCAAACGCCATGGGACCCCTGCATACCTCACCCTCAGGCCACAATGAGATTACAAATATACCAATATTTCCAAACATCATTAGGGGTCCCTGGGACAGAGGGGCTGGTTTTTTTTTTGGTTTTTTTAATGTTTCTTCCCCTGGGGCCAAGCAGTCCCACCTTGCAAAAAGATTGTAAGAGCTGCAGCCACATGACTTAGATATAGGATATCTAATAGAAAATCTAATGCATTGACTATGTGCACATTACTAGTTGATTTAATTGCAAAAAGGGATCTGCATTGGGATAACATTAACATTAAAATAAAAAATTTAAAAAAAAATTGCCCTAAAAAAAATCTCATCAGCTAACACATTCAGAAATTTTGTTCAAGCCCTGATAGCTCAAGTTATTAGAGAACCAGCTTATGAAGCCAAATGTCGTGGGTTCAAGTCGTGCTCCTGACACTGATTTTTCATCTCAATCACACTTTACATACAAATTATAAATCAATTTACTAATTAACATTAGTTGCAAAAAAGGATCTAGACTGAGATCAGATGCCTTAAAATAAAAAACATTTAAATCTCCCTCGAAGAAATCTCATTGGCTAACGAGTTTGGGGTTTTGTTCCAGGCCAGAGTGGTCTGAAACACATATTGAATGCATGGGAAAAGTGGTACTGGCCAGAATGCAATCCCAGACAGCTTGTTCTGGCAGTCCCAGAAACCTTCATGGCATGAGGGTGACGGTTCACTTGGAGCTACTTGTGTTTTACATGTTAAGCATTTTTACTTTACAAAAAACAGAATTTATTTTTATCAAAAGTTGTCCGATTATACCTAAGGTTTGCCATTCTTGCTGTTTTGATCAGACATAACTGTGTTCTGTTTCTGAGTGTTGTAAGCATCAGAAACTTGTTCTGCACAACCTGTAGCCTGGCGACATTAGTCCGCATGTTGGGGACGCAGGGGAGGGGTCCGCATACAGGAGCATCTCGACCTGACCCCTACCTCGTACAGAAGAAGCTTATTGGCAGATTGGCAGACGATAGGGTAGACTGGCAAAAAAAGTATGCATATAGCCGCTTTGCCCTTGTTCACTTAATTACTGACATGGGAAGTGAAAATGCGTTACGGTCCAAAGTCACCCAAAGATATTTGACTGTATCAGACTTCAGACCACAAAGTTATACCTTCAAATTGAATCTTTTTTATAAAGCAACGATCTATGCTTGCTGAAAACTATTGCCTCATTTTTTTATGATTAAGTTTAGTGTTACAACGGTTGCAGAAACTTAGTATTCAGCGCATTTGTCTAATCTGTTCAATATTGTCTTTCCTCCAAGAGGATAGAGAGGGATATCGTGTGCGCAGAGAGCCGTTTTTACATTCTTGAGGCAAGGTACTTAATAATCCTAAAATGCAATGCTGATTAAGGACCTTTATCCTTTGTAGCTGTATTTATTGGAAACATCCTAATAACATAAATGAGCCTAAGAGTTGATAAAGAACTAAACTTCATTGTGCTGATCTGAAATTCCACTTCAGTCATTTTTCCTTTATAGAAAAGAGAATAATGCTTTCAGAAATTTATAAAATATATTTTATGAGTAGGTTTTTCTCTCTAGGTTTATCTGTTGCAAGAAAAAACGTCCATCTGTTTTAATTATTATTTTTTTCTTTAACGAAAGTCTTTTATACCTGAGGGCTCCAAACCCGCCGAACAGGGCACCGGAGGCCATCCCGACGCAGAAACCGATAACGAAGCCCATCCTGATCCTGTCCCAGCAACTAGGGCCGTGATGGTAACTTCCACCGACACCGACTGGCATTTTCCTCGAGTTACTCGGAGCTGTCTTTAATTCCGAAATAAACGCCTCCTCCCAACTGTCAAAACGGCCAAATACGGAATTTCGACTGATCTCGGCCTCGCTAAAGGGAAATCGTAATTTTGATCTGTTATCTGTGTAATGCAACCTTCTACGAATGGATGGATAACCTTTCAACGGACCATAACTTTTGCAAGACTCCGCCCAAAGCCTTCTCTATTTTATTTTATTTGTCCCCTTTTGTGTATACCATACAACTATAGAAAAAAATCAAGTATTAGTTTTATTTTACCATATTTATAAAAATTAACGTTTTGCCTAAAATATTTTTATTCTATTACTTGAAATATATTGTTTAAAAGGTACATTATTTTTTACTAACATATGATTTAATTCCATTAATTCCAAGTCACGATAGCTCAAGTGGTAGAGTAGCGGCGTATTAAGCCGAAGGTCGTAGGTTCGAATCCCACTTGTGACACGACTTTTTTATCTCAACTTAAAACCTTAATTAATTATATGATTTAATGTAAAAGTTCTCTAGGATAGATTGCTTTGAATTTAGATGATCTCTCTATCAGTCACCATAAAATAATTATATTTTCTGATTCTTATAGTGCAGTTCAAGCAATTCAGAAGCCGTACTCCAAAAATCCATTAGTTCAGAACATTTGGCAAAACTTAAAAAAATATATATATATCTGTACGGCTCTTCTGTTTCCTTCATTTGTATTCCAAGTCATGTCGGAGTTAAGGGAAATGAGCTAGCTGGCAACGCAGCAAAGCTACAATCCCATCATCTCAGTTTTAATAAATCCTGAAGATATTAAGTCTGCTTTAAACATAAGTTAATTGAAAATTTGGAAAATTAGTGGAAACAAACCTCTTCCAACAAATTAAGAAACATGAAAAGTTAAACCTTGGGAAACATCCTTCCAAACTTCTAGGCGGGGTGAGGTCATTGTATGTCGATTACGAATAGGGCACACAAATATGACCCACAAGGCCCCAAAATCCCCTGGACTATAAAAGAAACGTTAGGGAATGAACAGAAAAAAATTGATCAGGTCTTCGAAAGTTTAAAAATGAGAAATCTCTTTTATATAAATGTCCATAATTTCCAATTAATTTTTAGTACAAAGACGATGACTTTTGATGTTTTTCATCTATAAACCAAAAAAAAAAAAAATCTAGAAGAGTTGAATTGTAGAGCAGTGCTGTACGTTGATGATTTAATCATGTTCTGTATCAGCAAAAACAAAGATATGCTACAACAGAGAAATCTCTTTTATATAAATGTCCATAATTTCCAATAAATTGTTACAAAGGCGATGACTTTTGATGTTTTTCATCTATAAACCAAAAAAAAAAAAATCTAGAAGAGATGAATTGTAAGAGCAATGCTGTACGTTGATGATTTAGTCATGTTCTGTAGCAGCAAAAACAAAGATATGCTACAACACCAAATGCAACACAATTAAAACACAACCAACCACTGGCTAGAAAATAAAGGATTCAATATTTCCCCAGCAAAAATGATGTTTTGTAAAAGAACTACGTATATTACCTTCATTAAAAATAAAAGACACTACAATCCTCTATGATTATTTAGAGATTGTGAGGTGCAGTCTGGTGTAATGTTAGTTTAGAAAAACATTTTCTTCATCGTGCCAACGTTTCGATCTTTATTGAGATTATCTTCAGAGCCTGGGATTTATAAACATTGGTTAAATTATACAAATACATGGAAGATGTGAAAAAATGAATTTATACAATGATAACAATTTTAGATGCAATCAAAGTATTTGTCCTCACTCAAAGTGTGTGTTTTATGTGTAGGTGTGTCACTGTTGTGTGATTGTTGTACTAGTTGTGTTGTTTGTTAAGAGTACTAGTGAAATATTAATGTTTTTTGTTAATATTTGTTTGATTGTGAAGGGGTGGGGAAGGAAGTAGGGATCTACATCTAACTCAACTAGCCAAAAGCAGTACATCCGTTCATGAACACAAACATTCTAAAAGTTAAATGCAAACTTGATGCTGATTTTTTCTACACTGGCAGATCTAAATCAGTAGGAGTTGATGCCTCTGTTGTTCATGGCAATCAATTACACAAATTTAAACTTCCCTCAATAGGTAACAATACTACAGAATTATTAACATTAAAAAAGCACTCAACATCACCTTTACAAATTAAAAATAAATTGTTATCTGTACCGATTTCTTGTCTGCATTATTGGCCACAAAACATATCTGCTCTGAAAACCCACTAATCCGGGACATCCTCATACAAATCCTTTTAATCTTTTTTTAAAATATCTTACTTTGTTTCTCAACTAAAATGTGTGGTTTGATCGTTTCTGACTAGCTTTCAGATTATTTTCTGCATTTTGTCATTTTCAGATAAGCCAGATAATAAATTGCTAGTTAAATTTTAATTGTTCACTAAATGATTTTCTGGTGTTTTGGTGAATTTTCTTTCGAACTGTCATAACCATGTAATTAAATATTTTTTATTAAAACTATAGCTTGAAATAAACAACAAAATATGAAGGTCCAGTTATTTTGTCTTGAGTGTGTATAAAATAAATACTTTTGATACATTGCTCAAAAGTTACACATTTCCAAGTCCAGCTTAAATCTTTTTTCACTTTTTTGATTTCAGAATTAAAATATTCAAAAATATAATCCTTAATATTTCTTCACATGTATAATATTGTTTTAATTTAATTTATTATTTATTCACTTGTTTGTTTTTCTAGGGGCAACGATGTATCACTACTATATAAAGATTGTTCCAACGAAATACATTGACTTGGAAGGTTTTGTGACTGACACAAACCAGTTTTCAGTTACAAAACATGAAAAAGTATGCTTCCTTGTTTGTAAATCATATCTAACACCAACTGATTTTAATATAAATGCTGCAGGTTGTGTCACCTGGTAATAGTGAAAGCGGAATGCCTGGGATATTTTTCAGTTACGAGCTTTCGGCAATGATGGTGAAGATAGTCGAGAAACCAATGTCAGCACAAGTTATTACACATTATAATTACTTGAATCTAATGGGTTTTTTTTCCTCTTAGGCATCTGAGCCAGTTAATCACCGATCTGTGCAGCATTGTCGGTGGTATTTGGATTGTTGCGATGTTTATAGATTCGATCTGTTACCGATCTTCAAAGCTGCTGAATAAAATTGATCTGGGTAAAGCCAGTTAGTCATCAACAACATTAAAGCAAGCTCGATCATCACATATGAGATTTATATCAAATCGATAATAATAACTTTGGTCCTTTTTTTTTTTTTTTTTTTTTTAAGTAATCGGCATTCAAAAAAGAATAATGTATAGAAAACTAAATCTCTCTAAATTATTCACATAAATGTCACATGATTTATGAGACTTAAATACTTTATTGACTAGTCAACAAGAATATTTCAATGTTATATTTAAAAGATTTTATTCAAAATTTTTTATTTTTTCATCAATTTAAAAAAAAAATCTTTTCTATTTACAAATTGCTTCAAGCTGTTTGTATTGATTTTAATTTTAATATTTTACCTCCTTAACAGACTTGAAATTTTAATAAATTTACATATGCTTAAAATCCAATAAATTTCCATTCAGCATAATATTATTTTTGCTGTGGAGTAGTAAGCAACTTGATAAATAGTAAATATTATTTACAATTAATATTATTTTTATTGATTTTGTTTAATTAAAAAATTATAAACATCTACATTAAAAAAAATGTGATATGTAAATATGCTGTGTGTGTGTTTTGTCTTAAAATATATACTGTCTGGTAAAAAGTATTAGTATCTTCCAATAATATTACTAATGAACTGTGGAAAAAAATTATATAAACTCTCTAAACTGAAGTGATGTTTTCAAAATTGTTTTGTAAATTAATACATGAATTGAATATTTTGAAACGTTTTTGTTTTTTAAACTCATGTCCCCATGTAAAATCAGGAATCTGTGGTAGCCACGTGGTTAGGATGTTAAAAACTCAGTTTGTAGACCTATAATCATAGGTTTGTTCAAATTTCTGACTCTAACCTCCATCAAAAATATTCTACTATCAGTGTCCGTGCACGGGCTAATGTAACAGTAAAAAAATTGCTAAAACATTTTGATTAATTGATCCAATTGTCTATAATTTGCAGCAGTTTGATTTCTTATTTTTCATCTTTCCTCAACGACTAGCACTGTTGAGTGAGACCACCAAAGTCCCGACAATTTTTTTTTTTCGTACAATACCTTGGACTGTTCCTCGACAAATGACTTAATTGGAATCCCCAGATGAGACTCAAACTTAAAATTAAAATACAAGATTCAGACTGCTAAAAAGACTGTCAAGCATTCCAAACTTAGAGAAGCAAACAAAAAAAAAGATTACACTGCCCTGCTAGCCCCACATATGGACCGCTGCGTTCCACTCTTAACAGACTACAAACCCTACGATGTAAAAATAACCATACAATTCATAACAACTTAAAAATTCCATTCGTATCCGACCTTGCCCAATTACATTACAAAAATTTTCATTATAAATCGCTCAAACCCTTTGATTCGTAAATTGTCATCTTCAACATTACTCGTCAATCCTCGCTGTAGATTGAAGCAACGCTGGCCACTTGACAACTCAGTCGCCTAACATCGGCAAACGATACTTGCCAAGTGATTTCCACCCTGTTGATGGACTAACAACTCCAATCACTGGATGGATGCCGTTCATGCCTTACAGCCCTTTTGTGTGTCCATGCATACAACCTTCACATTCACACAAAATAACAATTTCAATTTTGCTTGTTGCATATTTAAAGTGCAGTTTAAATAAATGAATGAATTAAAATATAAAAAAATTGTGTGACTGACATTTTTCTGTTTTATTTTCTTTCAGAATTAATATTTATTAGACCCCCAAAAACATCTAGTTAAAAAAAAAAAGTAAATTATTAGTCGGGTGATGTCTGATATTCATTCTGTGTCACCATTTCTACTCATTCTGTATATTTAAATTTTTTAGTGCAAATTTATATGGCATATCTAAGAGCTTTTTAGTGCAGATAATATTGCATATTTGAGAATTTTATTGCATATAAATCCGGGCTGTAGTTACATCTGTCATTACATGGCAGGATCAGATTTTACAGCATCCACAGATGCAATCTCAGTCCTGTAACTTGGTACATTTCCCTCCGGGGGCAGGATTTTCAATTCCACCCCTTTGCAACTTGCAAGCTGGTCGATGAACCTGCGCTTTAAGTCTCGCCATTTTTAGATTTTCAAGACGAAAGTATAAACATTTTTTGAAATTTCTTGCAATAAATATTCGTTTGTAACGTTTTGGGTTATGTGGTTTTATGTCACTTCGGGCTGGTTGAGTTAAAAAAACAAAAACGGAATTAGTTTTTAAAAAATAATCGAACGTTTAGTATATATTTCTAATTGAAATACAGTAATTAACATTGTTATTAGCTAAAGTGCTATATTGTAAATTTGTAAAAAGTCGTTTTTGTCAAGGCAGTTTTAAGGGATTTTTTTTTCTCGTAAAGGCTTAAACGAGTAGATTTTCATTCCGTTTATGATATTCAGTTAGCCTTTGAATGGATCAGTTGAAATATTTTTTGTTTACGAATTTACACCTTGGTGTTTTTTAATTGTTTTTGTTTTCAACGTGCACCGTGGATTTTTTTAAACCGTTGGCAGTTGGTATTAAAAATGGAGAACCCGAAGGATTGGATGGCCACTTGGATGTTTGGCGTGTTTTCACATTCTCGACCCTCGCACTTTTGACTTTAATCCTTTCTCACGTCCTCACGAGTGCGAAAACCCTTTCACGGTTGATGTTGTAGTCTTGTTTTTGTGATCTAAGCCTTGATCTTTTGGAGGATCAGCGGTCCGGAGAAGTCAAACATCGAACATGGCCCTTAATCCCGATTTGGAGCAGTTGGACAACGGTATTTTTTTTTAAACTCAGATTTGAAATTAAACCCGGGGCGATCTGCCTTCTTTTCTAATTTAATTTTTTCCCCCTTCAGAGTTGGAGCTGGTGTTTTTCGCCTGCCCGTGCAACCCAGACGGCCAGGTAAAAATTCAGGATTTAATCGACCAATTGGCCTCCAAGTATGGAAGTGATATCATCGGGTACGTTTTTGTCTATAATTCAAGTTGTACATTCGTTTTAACACTAAATGTTTACATTCTTAAGGTGTATCAACACCAACATATACAATCTGCCATGCATGCATTACTTCAAATTAAATGGGTGTTGATTAAGAGTATTAATTAAGGTATTGTTTTATACTGTCCTATCTTTCTAAGATGTCCATTAAGTCAGCCGAGCCCTGCCAAGAAATCTTTTCGATTCTTAATCGCTTCATACTTCCTATTATGCCGGTCCTTGTCTTAGCATGAGTTAGGAATATTTGTTAAAATAGTAGTAATGAATGTCAAACAAATATTGTAAATACACCATAAACCTCGAAGATCATAGATATGCGATGGTTGAATAGTCTGTCGACTAAATAACGAAAGTCAAAGAGTTATTTAGTGTGGGGAGGTTGTTGCGGATATATTCATCCAGCTGTGGGACACCTTAAACTTTGGTTCACATCATCGGGTCGGCAATACACATCTTCACCGGACATCCAGCAGCGTGGGATCAGGAGGCTGTATAATGGAAACTCTCGGATTCTATCTGGCTCAGCAGTTTATGCTTTTCCTTTCCTCTTCTACTCTGGTTGGGAAATCAGTTTAAAAGAGGATGATTTGGAAAGCAAATTCGTCATCTCGGGGGCCTGGTGGCTCACAGAGACAGCCAAACGTAGTGGCCGAGATAAGATGTTCGACTGTTCAAGGTTGTAACTTGTAAATAGACTGTCGAAGAGCAGCCCGATAGAGGCCGAGTCATTCGTTAAGTAACTCCAAAACAACAGACAGTTGGTCAGACTCTGTTAGCCAGACCCAAGAATAAGTCGCCAGAGTGACTCATGAGAGAATGGAATCAACTCGAAGACCCATCCTAGTCAACTCATGGACTCAGTCGGTGGCTCACAGAGACAGTTGAAGGCAGAGACCAAGGTTCAGGACTGAGACGAGTCCAATAGAAAACTGTTGAAGAGCAGCTTGATGTAGGATGTTGACAGTCGAGTGTTTGAGAACCAGAGGACAGGAGGAAGGACTTGGTCAGTCAGAGCCAGAAGGACTCAGTCAACCAGAGTCTAGCAAGACCCTGCATGAAGAAGATCTTGGAAGGCGCTGGATGATGTGGAAGCTGGTATTGGCAAGCATCTTTTGGAGTAAGTCCTCTTGTGAATAAACTCATCCATGAGTTAGAATTGTGGCTGACTTCTCATGGTTGTTTGATTTTCCGTTTATTTTGTAGAATATCAAGATGGGCTACTGTAACAATAAATGTTTATGAATATATCTCTAGTTTATTGTTTTAGGCACCCTACCTTCCCCTATACAAAAACATTGTTTTCTTTAACAAATCAACTAATTCTTTTTATTTACTTTCACACATTCATTTACATATTTACAAATTAATTATTTCTGAAGGTGTCTTCAAGAGGAGCTGAGCAGCACTGATTCAAATGACACGAACCAATTTGTCTCTCGAGAAGATTTCATTAAATTCATGAAGAATATTATAATATTGAACAGCGGGGATAATGTTCAAAGGTATTTGTTCACAATCGATGTATTTATTCGGTAGAATTCTTATGTTTCTATTTGCAGTACTGTCAGTTTTGTGAATTCTGAATATGTCGAATTTAGAACACCGCTGAAATACAGCCAGAGGACTTTTGTTGAAGGTAACATTCAAAATTTTACCAATAAAGCATGTTTCTCTGATTGATTATTTTTTTAGAGGTTGACAATAATAACTTTGACTGTTTTCATCAGTTGAACATTTCAAATGCTTCGTACTGGTATGTGTATATTAATTAAGTTTTGTGTTTTCATTTTTAAAATATTTTATTAATTTTTGTTATCTGTTTAGCTCTGATGATATTAGATATTTGAGAGATTCAAAAGAAGCATTAGAACAAAAATTGATTAAGGCAGAAAACTCCATACAGTTTCTAGAAGAGCATGTTAAAATAAAAACCGATAAAAACATAAAGCTATCAAAAGAGATTGAAATGTACAAATTTATAATGCAATGTTAGATCTGACTCAAATATTGATTATTAATTATTTTGTTTTTAAATTGTTATAGCATGAAAGAGGACATAAATAAGATCCAATCTCTCGAAGAAGAGTGCTTTGACCTCAAAGATAAATTGAACAAACTTGAAGTCAAGCACAAACATGCCACTAGCAGTCTCAAAAAAGCAAACTTGAAAATTGAAATTCTTGAAGAAGACAAATTTTCGCAATCGGCTGAAGTATGAATAGTATCTGTTTGTTAAAAATAAAAAACTTAACAATGGACATATTTTAGATCAGACAACTAAGTGAAGAATTGTCAAAAAAAGCCATTATTCTTAAACAAATGGAAAATTACAACAAAAGTTTATATGATGAGGTTAATATTTTGAAGGAAAAGAATGAGACATTGTCTAAGAAAATAAAGGAAATGAGTGTAGAGCTCATAGACAAAGAAGTTTTAATGGATCGAATTACAGTAAGTATTTAACTTATTGAATTAATTAGAATATAAAAAATCTTATGTTTTATTTTTGGCTATTTTCTACTTTTATTTTAAAATTGTTTCCTAAGGGTAAATAGTGGTCCTACCAGTGACTGGGTACTGTTTTAGACTCCATGATGCAATTTTGATGTTTTATCCTTGCCATTTTTGCCTTAAACATACGCCATTCTGTACTTTCAGTACACTGGTATTTTAATTAATCTTTTTAATTTTATTGGACTCACCCTTAAGGGTTGTCACTCTCTGATGTGCTAACCCTCTAGGGTCTAGTCCTCAGAAGAATTCACTTACTCCGTTATGCTGCTGGGTCACTAGTTTCTCCTTAAGCCAGATGCCCAGGAGATCAACACTTCTCAACCACTATCATTTCAGCCTCCACTGCATGCAAAATATAATCTAATCTAAAACTAACTAGCTTCCATAATTCCATCGCACAAATAAATGCATTCACATTGTTCACTCATTCCTATTAGTCTGTGGAGTACTCGATATCCCATCAACAATATAATCTAAATTAGGGATGAAAGGGTACTTTTATAAATATATAAATTTTCGCCATCGACCCTAAACCGACAAATTACTGGAGGGGTGGTGGTAATGCTATATTTCACCATCACCCCTCACCTCAATAAATACCCACACTCAAACATATCTGTATACAAAAAAATATATATCCTCCAAAAAAAGGAACAGATAATCCAGAAAACTCACTATTCTGCTTGCAAACTCTTCTTAAATCAGGCAGCATGCCTACACACTCTTTGTAAGGATCCAAGGCATGACAAGTTTCTATTATGTGTTTCTTTACAGCTATCATAAATGTGTGCAGGGTCCTATTTTCTGTGCCTCTGAGTTTCTTCCTGTTTCTTCATATGCATTTTGATATATTTCCTGCTTAAAAAAAAACCCCATCTTACAGAAAATTTCAGATTCTCTGTCAAGTCTTTTGTGTTCTTTATCATAATTACATTTAGAATAATAAATATGAGTAAATGTACTAAACATTTCTTATAATACTGATCAACATTTCATTTATGAGATTATATGAACCCTTGGAGTGCCGGTGAAAAAAATCGTAATTATGTTGAAGGTTCAAATGGAGGGCCACTGGTTTTCAACCAGGACCTTTACCTTATTTTAGGATCTATTTTAGTGATCGGGTTCAAATCCCACTTGTGGCACATGCATTTTCTTCTCAACCAAGCTCTTAGATTAAAAGTTAATTAAAATAATTAATAAATCTTAATAAAATAAATAATTTTGCCATTTTACCTTAACAAAACCTGCTTGTACGGGTGTTTAAAAATTTTCCTTTAGTCAAGGTTTTTTTTATTCCTAGGAGTTGGCGAGTGAAAAACAAAATTTACAAATACAGCTTTCTGAAATAACTGTTTCTCAGGCGCTGGTAAGTATTAATTTTAAGAATTTTCTTTGTTCAGAAAATTGTGATTTTTTTTTTTTTTTAGAACAATATAAGCAATATGAGTGAATCTGACACGTCTGAAACAAGAATCGTTTGCATGACTCCTTTTCCTGTTGAAAATCCAGGGGTTTCTCTAAAATCAGAACTTAATGATGTAATAATTTGAATTTAGTTAATGATTTGAGAATATTTTCAAGTATTTGTTTTTCTCTTTCATCTAGGCTTTTGGTCTCGATAGTTCACAGAATGGACAATTGTGAGTTCTGTCTTTTTACAAGTGTTGTTTAATTAGCTAAATTGTAGTTTGCATAATTTTAATTTTCAGTCCGTTTTTCGCTAATCAAACAATAGAATGCTCAGTAGCATCGACACAAACAGAAAGTAGAGAAGTTGATATTTGGTGAAGCATGATTTATTTATGTTATAATGCCTTAGCTTGTTTATTTATTTGTTAAAATCAATTTTAATTTTTAAATTTTAATTAATAGCATGTTTGAGACTCCAATTAGCTGTGAATCAAGTCATACTGACCTTGGTAGCAGGTAAATTTAAAGAACAGGAAGCATGTTCATCTTTTTTCTTTCTTTCTATTTTTCTTGTTTCTACTTTTTCCAAAATACCACAGATGAAACACATAATCCCCATAAATTTAAAATCCTTAATCCATTAACAACAACACATTTTTCTTGCAGACCAATTATTATCCAAGAAAAAAACCGATTAGCCGACTTTTCTACATCAAGTACTGAAGAAAAACATGGATCCAGGTATATATTTAATCATTGATGTTTTGTAAATTTGTCTTCTCAGAACACAACAGAAATAAAACAGACACTGGTTATGTTTACTTTAAAAAATAAATAAACATCTTTCTTTATATTTTTAAGGGCAGAAAATTCAGAAGAAAATATCTCAGACTTAGGGTAATTATTTTTTTGTATATATATATTTTTTAAATTACTATGGTCTTTTAATTTATCTATGTTAAAAACAAGCATGATGCCATTGATTTGTGAGACTCCCGTATCCAAAGTGAAGACGAAATCAGTTTGTAGAAGGTATTGTTTTACATGTATGATTGTCCCAGTTTTTTATTTATAAAAATCATATTTTGTTCTTTTAGCCTGTACAAAAATGCCATTTCAAATTTTGAAGAACTGGCCGCACCTTTGGAAAATGGATTGTGTGACATGGACATCTGCCAATCTCCGATTTCAATTGAGGGCCGCTTTACAGGAACCCAAACTGCAAGAATGCTGAGGTTTTTTTATTTCTCTTTATGTTGAAGAAACTCAACCTATTTGATTTTAATTTTATTTTAGTCCTATTGATGATATAAACAAATCTACTGACTGTATCCAACTAGACATGTCTGAAACGTTAAGGTTTAATTATTTCTCTTTTTTTTTTTAATTTGTTTGTTTTTCCTAACAATTTATTTTATTTTATTTTTACCCAGTTCGTTTGATAGTCAGGACAGTATTTCTGGTACAATTAATTATGAAACACCAACATTTAAGTAAGGCATAACTTTTGATTTTTTATTTATTTACTTTTTTCATTTACTCATTTTTTCTCACAAATTTTGTATATGCTCAAATGGATTTAAGGTATTTTAAATTATTAAGGAATTATAATTGTAATTAAAATTGTTTTAAAGCTACCTGGAAATTTTGGAAAAGGAGGCCGAGATGAATTTTACCAAAGTTATCCAATTAAAAGACGAAGTCGTTCAAAAATATGGGTCACAATTGTTCAAAGAAAATAGGTAAGATTTGTTATTTATCATTAAATTATCTTTTATTAAATTGCATTTTTTTCCTTCACAGTTCTGACAAAATTGTTTCAAACTACTTAAAGAGGAAAAATGACTTAGGCATAGCCATTATAAATAATGGCTTGAAATTGAGCACTGAAAGGTAAAAAAAAAAAAGAAAAAAAGATTCATTTTATGTTTCTACTTTATTTCTTTATTAGAGACTGTTTGGACACTTTAAAACTTATGAGATCCAACAAGAATTCACAATACAAATTGACTTACTTTTCATTTCCAGAATCAAGGTAACATTGACTGATTGTTTTTCAATTTTGGCTAGATAATAAAATGATTTTGTTTCAGGGTTCATTCAAGCAGCATTTACGGTTTAATTTGGCTCATTCATGCATTAACTAAGTATGTAATTTATCAATTATGTTAGTTTGTTCACAGTTGGAGGGGATTAACAAAAAAAAGTGATGTTTTTTTATATATAATTTTGTACAGATCAAACTTCTGTAACCAATGTGTTGGTGTTGTAATAATGTTCAAAGGGTTTCTTTTTTTCTTTCTTTTTAATCATTGCTATAATTTCAATTTTGTTTTTTAGCATAAACGCTAAATATGTTTTGTTAATTTTACATAAATTGGTTTCAGATTAGTTGGGAAGATGGCAAAATTGTGTGTTATCACAACTTTGCTATTTGCTATGTTGGCTTATAGTTCATTGGTGATGCTTTGCGTGAATGGGTCACCTTCATTACAGAATCCCGAGTTTTATCAATGTTTTGTAGCTCCACGATTGCCCATAAGCAAGTTTTATAATTATGCCTCTGGCTTGCTAACATTTCAAGTCACGTATCCACACGGACCCCCTCCGACTTGACCATGGACATCAACACTTAATATGCGTACTGTTATTTGTTATACATTTTGTAATAGCGTGTAAGTTATATCTTTAACATAAATATATTTCTTGTTACTCCTTTGTTCATAGTTTCGACACCAACATTATAAAATGAATTAGATTTATTTATTAATATATTAAACTCTTAGAGTAGTGATTTTTTGATCGTAAGCAATACTTACTGTGATGTTTTTTGCATGTTTTGTGATTTAATATTGTGGTAATAAATAATTTAATAATGTTTACTGAATTCAATTTTTTTTTGCCGATTTTGAATCTATTTGTAATAAAAAATTTACAAAATAAAAACCGCTATAGCATAATTGTGATGATAATTTTAAAAATCCTAACCTGCATAAATCTCTTGGACTTGTTCACAAATCCCAAGATTTTGGACCATTTTATCTCGGGGAGTGATTTGGTGATGTCCTCTCCTTCAAAGATTTCAAATCTAGACCTAGCATACCTATCACACTCTGCGAGGTAGTGCCGTGCCGTTTCTTCTTTTATTTCACAAAAACTGTAGGAGGGGTCTGGTAAAATACCCATTACGAAGAGGTGTCTTCTCAAAGGGCAATGGCCTGTCAGGATACCTATCAGCCTCCTAATTCCCTTCCTTGAGATAGAGAATAGCCATTTCGATTCTGCTGGTTTGATCACCTTAACAAACTCAATTGCTTGTTTCCAGGGGATAGATTCCACTCCTTAAGGAATTGTTTCATGCCCTAGTTTTTAATACTCTCTTTTGCTGTACGCATAGAGTGAGATAATACTGGTTGTGGTCTGACAACCCTTTACCTGCAAAGCTCTTAAAGGGTCTAGAAGCGGGACAAGTAAAGGAAAGTCCTAGTGGTTGTGGTCTGACAAACGCAGTATTAGAGCCTTCTTTGGTCAAGCTATCCGTCTCTTCATTGCCAAGGTGTTCTTTTTTTATGCTGGTATCCAAATAAGGGTTACCTTGTTCTCAAACCTGGAAGAGATCCTATAGATAAGATCAGAGGTAGACAAATCGTTTTGTAATGATAAAAGACTAGCCTGACTGTCAGAAAAAATTCTAATATATTTTCCCTTATTTATTTTCCATAAGTGTTCTACAACACACATTAATGGCCCAGATTTCCGCCTGAAAAATGGAGGTGTTATTGCCAAAAGGGGAGGAGATGCTGATTCCTAATTTAGGTATGTAGATTCCTGCACCGCTCACTCTACCTTTGATAAGTGAACCATCTGTCTAGGGATGGTTAGGGTAAATTACATACATAATAATAATATACATACATAATACATTCGGTTTATGAAGTCAATTGCCAAGAAATCTGATGTGGGGTGGTACATTCAGTTTATGAAGTCATATTTATCATACTTTCACTTTATGAAATTCATTGTTGACAGGTCTATGGGCTACACATTCAGTTTATGAAATAATTTACCTACACTATACATGGGGTAATACATTCAGTCTATGAAGTCAGCAAGGGTTATGCTTTCAGTTTATTAAGTCAACATGGGATTATACATTCAGTTTATGAAGTCAATTGCCAAAAATCTGGTGTCATACTTCAGTTTATGAAATGATATAGCCATACTTTGACTTTATGAAATCAATTAGCTACAGGCTACGTACATTCAGCTTATGAAGTCATCTGTACCATACTTTCACTTTATGAAATCCATTGTTAACAGGTCAGTTTATGAAGTCCGTTGCCAATATACCAAATGGATGATACATTCAGTTTATGAAATCAATTACCTACTAGACAATGTTAATACATTCAGTTCATGAAGTCAATTGCCAAGAAATCTGATGTGGGATGATATATTCAGTTAATAAAGTCACATGTGCCATACTTTCACTTTATGAAATCAATTGTTAACAGGTCAATATGTATTACATTCAGTTTATGAAGTGTAATGCCAAGAAATCACTTCTGATACATTTAGTTTAAGAAGTCAATTACCAACAGGTTACCTGTTATCCATTCAATTTATGAAGTCAATTGCCAAGAAATCCCATATGTGATACGCTGATACCTTATGAAAAAATTGTCAGCAATAATAATAGCTTTCTTCTCATTTTAGATCGTGTGTTCAGATTAAGTTAAACACATCAAATAATGTGAGCTACCAGTTGAAAGATAAAACTTGTGCTTTGGTTCTGAATATTCATTGACAAAACTTAGATTAAAAGTATAAGTAATATGTCTAGAACATTAATATAAATGTGTGTCCTAGATATGTTTGTATGACAGATACAGGTGTTTTCTCAAATTTCAACTCAATTTTACTACTTTAAATGTGTCCAGACATTTAGTTTGAGCTTGAATATCAAGTTTTCTCTTAACGGTAATTTTATCCTCCCATTTGTTTTACCACTCTAATTAATTATTTGTCAATCATGGTAATACATCTTCCATATTAGCTGTAAGACAAGTCCTCGTTGCACTTAATATTCAAAGATGTATGTTGTATGTTTTTATGTTTGGTCATTTTTTTGCCCAAACTTGTATGTACATGAGGATTGCATCCATCAATTTGGCACTATGTACAAGGATATTTGATAAAATATCAATTTTTGTTATGTACATTTTTAAATATACAATAGTTAACTCATAAGTAACAAATATATTAAATTGTTCAATTCCGATACATTGAAAATTATAATTTTAAGGCTTTCCAAAAAAATATCTTTGCAGTTTTCCAGAACGTTTCTCATAAACTAAATTTTCAGAAATAAAATATAAAATTCAAGCACATTATAATAGTGTGGAAACGGTTATGGATTTCGGTTGTCTTATCTCGAGTCACCTGAAATCATTTTTGACGGTTACCTTATCGTGAGGTTACGGCGACTGTGATAGTGTGATATTGCTATTTGCTATGAAAACGTGTAAAGTAAATTGTGATGACAAGTGATGTGACATTTTTCTGGATTTGCATTATTTGCGTAATCCTGATTTCCTTTAAACTGTTTTTCTTTATTAGAAATATGTACCACTTAGGGAGACCCTATCTCAGATGGTGATTACAGGTGAGCCGAGCCGGCTCTTGTTTCTTAGCTTTAAGAAATTGATTAAGAATTAAAAAGCCCACCTCATGATTTTCAATCTGCTGGGTTGATAGTGATTTCATTGTGTAGAACGCCTATAACGCCTATTATATATCTCAGAACGAAATTTTTTATTTTACAATTTTTTAAAAAAGAAATCTTATATATCGTAAATAGTTTTTATTTATTAATTAATCACACTGGTGTTCATGCTTAGAGGTGTTTTTAGTTAGGCCTCATTGGGTGTTTTAACTTTATGATATATACATTTAAATAATATTTTTATTTGGTTCTACATTTGTTTTCAGATTCTGTTTGAAATATGACATTGATAATAGGAGGAGGTATAAGTGGTCTGTCAGCGGCATACTACCTTCTTAAACACTCCAAAAAGGCGGTTGTCACTGAAGCCGGGAAAGCGGTTGGAGGTTGGATACAGAGCGTCAGAGATGAAAAGACTGGACTTATTTATGAAAAAGGCCCGAGAACGTTGCGGATAAAGGGCAACGTCGGTGCTAACACCCTTTCTCTCATCGAGGAGATCGGCTTGGGTGAGAAGGTTAGAGCGATAACTGCAGACAGACCTTCGTCAAAGAACAAGTTGATCTATGTCAACGGCAGTCTACATTATTTGCCGACTGAGTTTTCTGCCTTCTTCAAAAAGGTATCCCCATTTTCCAAACCGCTCATTACTGCCCTTTTGAGAGATCTTTTTGTTAAAAAAGTGCCCAAAGAGGATGAAAGCGTCCATAGCTTTGTCGAGAGGAGATTCGGCTCAGAAATCGCCGATTATCTGACAAGCTCGATGCTTTGTGGGATTTGTGCCGGTAATTCAAAAGAGATCAGTGTCAAGTTTTTGATGCCGTATTTGTTTGATTTAGAACAGAAATACGGTTCAGTTGGAGTGGGTTTCATTAAAGAAACGCTGAACAAAAAGCCAAAACCGAAAGTCGAAGAATTCCCTGGTCAACTGGGTAAAAAATCAAAAGAAGAAAATTGGGTTATTTTTGGCTTAGAGGGCGGGCTTAACACTTTTCCCAAAAAGTTATCAGAAAAGGTTCTTGAAAAAGGAGGAGATATTTTGTTAGATTCTGAAGTGACAAAGTTGACTCTGAACAAAAATAGTGTAACATATGAATTAAATGGAAAAATTGACGAATGCGGTCATGTGATAAGCAGTTTGCCGACTACCAAGCTGGCGCCATTGCTCCAACATCAGCACCCTTGGCTCTCAGAACAGCTGTCGTCGATTGAGTATGTAAGCGTCGCAGTGGTGAACGTTGCTTACAAAGGGCATGTCCTTAAATACAACGCTTTCGGGTATTTGATCCCTCCTTCTCAGGAATTACCGGTTCTCGGGGCTGTTTTTGACAGCTGTAATCTGCCCCAGGGCGATTGGACTGTTCTCACCCTCATGATGGGCGGCTACTGGTATGACAAGTTTTTCGGAAAGGAATCGTCTCCAGAGTTCTTTTTAGAAACAGCTTTGAAATACAATGAAAAGATTCTTGATATCAAGGAGAAACCAGAGTCCTACCATTGCCAACTGATGAAAGAAGCCATACCACAGTATGTGATTGGGCATCATGAAAAAGTCAATAAGATGTTAAATTACGTTAGAGACAAATGTTTACCTATTTCACTAATTGGGTCAGCTTTTAAAGGTATCGGTGTTAATGATGTGATCTTGTCAGCAAAAGCCGCTGTCGATAATATAGTCAGATAAATAAGTTTTATTTTAGAAGTTTTTGTTCTCAAATTAAATAGAGGTTTGCTAGTATTTTGAGGTGGCTTGATTCAAGTTTTACATAATACATAATAAATTCATTTAATTCAAAAGTTTAAACACTGTTAATATCTTTAAATTATAATATATTTATAGTATTGTAAAGTTATCAAAATAATTGTATTCTTGTCATTTTTTAGATCTATTTTATTTAATAAAATTAGTTTAAGCAAGAGATGGTATTTTACAATAAAGTTGTATTTTTTACTCCACTTGACTTATTTATTTATTCTAGAATAGAATAAAGTTAATTATAGCCATAGTCAAGTACCATTTTTGTTTCAATTTCTTATTGATACTTTATTATGATTATTCGGAGATCGTGAGATGTGGTCTGGAGTGACAGGGTTTAGAAAAACATTTTCTTTATCATGCCAACATTTCAATCTTTATTGAGATCATCTTTAGGCCCTGGGATTTATAAACATTGTTTCAGTTTTACAAATACATGTAGAAAATGTTAGATTGAAAAAAAATGAATTTATGCAATGCTAGAAAATTTTAGATTAAAAAAATGAATTTATTCAATGCTAGAAAAATTTTTGATTAAAAAAATGAATTTTAAAATGCAAGAAAATTGTAGATTCAATCTCAAAGTATTTATAAACAATTTAAACTGTGTAAATTGTTTAAATTTTAAAAATATATGTAGGATGTAGAAAAAAATATTTAAAAAAATGATTTCATACGATTTTAGGTTCAATCAAAGTATTTGTACTCACTCAAAAAGTTTGTTTTCTGTGTAGATGTGTCATTCTTGTGCGTCGTGTTGAAAGTGCCAGTGAGATATCGATTTTTTTTTTTTTTTTTAANAAAATAGAGATTATAAATGATGGGGTGAGTGTGGAGTTCAATCCTTTTTAAAAAAGATGGTTCCTACTCACATTAAGTTGTTTCGCAACAATCCGGATTTCGAGCCCTTGAACCTGACGATGAGCTAAAGGGCTCGAAATCCGGATTGTTGCGAAACAACTTAATGTGAGTAGGAACCATCTTTTTTAAAAAGGATCATTAACTAACGGTCACTAAACACCACACATTTATACTTTATACTTGTTTAATATCTCTTAAAAATTTCACAATTGAGTGGTAAACTTGCAAATTATTTAAACACAAAATAGTTTTGTAATCAAGACTTTGAGAGGTAGAGCCAGATATTGAAATACAGAATTGAATAATCTTTCCCTTTTATTGATATATTAGGACATAAAATAATACGGTGTTTGCATGAATCTTTCTGAGCAGTAATCAGACAAATTTGAATTTGTGATATTTACTTTGAATAAATACTCATTGCAAATGCATGGTTCGAGTGTAGTCTACATACAGAGTTTTGCATTTCCTTGTTTATTGGTTCTCCCTTAATCCAGCAAGTACCATATTTAAGTTGAATGTATTTGTAGAATCTTCCTTTACTAGAATTCTGATGTCTCCTTCATAATGTGTTTTAATACTGAACTTTTTTTTTTAAGTGAGTGAGTGAGGATCTTTGATAATCATTACCTGATCTTCCCTCAAATTATTTCACTGGTCGATCTTCACTTTGAAAAAAAAAGCCTGTAATATTTTCTTCATTAAAATTAAATAATATAGATGAATGATTAGTTTCCCTTGCTGAAGGCAAATGATTTGAGTGTGGGTTGAATTTAAAAACTGCAATTTTTATGATATGATATCTTTAGTTTTTTCTTTCCATTCCAAAATATTCTTAAGTACTGGATTTATATGTTAGATGTATTAAATTAATGATATATAAAAATGTAAATATTTATTTAAATTTTTACAGCACATATTTACAATCACCATTTAAAAATTTACAAAGTTTTCAAAAATTTATTAAAAAGTAATACGGGCGTCCTTGCAATTTCTTTGCAAAATGTGGCATCATCATGGGCAGCGATGCTCATAAGCGAAACATATTTTGGCTTCGATGGGTCGTACTGGTCTCGGCCGAGCGATTTGAGAAAGAGGTGTCGTTCCTTCATCCGTCGTTCTCTGCAGAGCAAAACCTGGGGTTGTTTGACGATGAGTTCGTGTGGAACGAGCATATCGTTGTGGATAAGGTTGAACTGGGCGACCAGCGTATGCCTCGCTGTGAGTTTTAAAATCATTATTAAAACAGTTTTGGATAAGACAAAATTTGATTAACATACTTTTCATGTAAACTTTTGGAACTTGCAACATTATTTCTTTTGTCTCAAGAGGTGAAAATCCCATTTCTTCGACGACTGAGAATTTGTTAGCCTACAAGAACATCATTTATTTACATTTTTGAATGTAGTATATCCTAAATACTGACCTCTACATGTTGTAAATTAAAAGTTATCAATTTTGGCATTTTCGTCGCCACAAGCCTAACTTCGTTCCCATCTAAAGAGAACATCTGCTGAAAAAATCCTAAGCGAGTGTCTATTTCTACAGTGCTGTAATAAAAAATAAAAAACTAAATCTTCAGATTTCCAGTTATTTGTTGTAAAGAGAATTTTCAAACCTGTGTGAAAGCCACTTGGGATTAACAGCTATGATTCTGGCAATGCTGTCAGGTGTAAATTGTTTAGATTCCAAATAGTTAATCCTTACTTGAAGATTTTCGAGATCCTCTTTGAATATAAAAGGGTTTATGGTAAAGAACTGGCCCAGTTTGTCCAAGGGGACTCCTACATCATGTAAAAACCTGAAATAAATTGTTTTTAATGTATAAATAAACATGAATTATTTAATGTGTGCAAAATGTTCAGGGATTACCCTTCAATAGAAAATCATCAGAAGTGATTAACTGCTCGAAATCCGGATTGTTTGAAAACAACTTACTGTGAGTAGGAACTATCTTTTTAAAAGGATTGAACATTGCACTCAATGGCTCAAAAAAAAAAAAAAAAAAAAAAACCATTGCACTCACTCCACCTTTCATCATTTCTAATAATGGTTTATTATTCTGATGTACCTCCAAATCTGATTTTTTAATATGAAATTTATTTATATTATATTTTTAATATGAAACTTTACTCGTGGAATCAAATTGGTTAATCTTGCATGAATTTAACTTAATAGATTTTTTTTTAATTCATAGTTTAAATAAAAATATTTGATTTTTTTGGTTTCATCTTATTCAAAAACAACCAGGGCTTTTACAGTTTAAAACTTTAAAGGCTTGGCCATACAGAATGCAATCTGATAATCCGGTGCTCTGCTCGTCATATTATATGATGAATTTTTGCATTATTCACGTCACATAGGAAGCAATATGTCATAGTGATCCAGTCTAGACTGAGATACAGTTGTACAAAATTGTCATGTAGTTGAGCAATAACCATGGTCGAGGAAACCAAAAAATTCATTCATAAAGTTCATGAATGTGTATTTTTGTACAATACAAATGAGAAAGGCTATAAAAATGTTTATCTGTGTTTATTTCATGAGCACATCTCTTTCTTTTCTTATTACATAGAACAAGAAGAAGAAAGGGGGACGACGGTAGTCGAATGGTTAAGGTGTCAGACTCTCGGCTAGTAGATCCTGTGGTCGTGGGATTGATTCCCACTGTTGCCTCTGGGTTTTCTTTCTTTTATAAGGTTGGGCCTTAGGGGTATATGGTTCCACGACCAGCCTGTATAAGTCCGGAAATGGACATTGGTACAGGCAGCCATATACCTTTGAAAGGCTTTATTTCTTATGCCTAAGGGGACCAGTGGCCACAATTGAAGAAAAAAAATGACATGGCACTCATCAATGGAAGGTGTGGAGTGGGATCGGATCTCAGCGACCCTGAAATTGGTCCTGACCCTCTTCAAAAATGAGTTTCTTCGATGGAAGAACACCAGCACACCAGGGGCTCAAATTCACACACGTGTTGCGAGTTCCCAAAAATGGAGCCGGAAGGAAGTACAATAAGCTGTATACTACAGCTACAGTGCTCAGGGGGAACTCTTCTAATTCCTGGTATCCATTAAAAAAAAGTTGTTCCTCTTCCGAGCTTAAAGTAGACATTTTTATAACACTCCATCGGTTGCACCCCTTGGAAGGACACGCTGGATCCATTTCATTTATCAAAATTTTTATAATTATGGGAATAACGTGCAATTCTTTTTAATCTTTGGCCAAAATAAAATGCAAATAATGTTTTCACAATTTTTATTGTTTTATTATGTACTTAAATATAATTAGGAACATACTGAAAATAAAATCGTACAAATCATGTGACACCAACATAGACTAATAATGTGTCAGACTTAACAAAAATTAATTACTGAACCTTGGTAAAACAGCAATCATGCAACATCTTACATAATACATACAAATTAACATTTGTGTGTGTGTCTGTGTGCACACATGCAATTTTTTATTTTTATTGCTGAATGGAGTCTTCTTCCAACTTATGGTGTCAACAAATTTCTTCCCCATTTTCCTATTGCAAGGATAAAATGAACAATCACTCTCTTCATCACCAGACTCTGCATCACTCAATTTAGAATTTGAGTCTTCTTCAATGTCCTCTAATTCTTCAGCTTCATCAAATCCAGGCGATGGTTCCTCCGATAGGGTGATTAAGTTGTTACATGCGGCTTTATTGTTATTACAATCGTCCAAAAGAAACATGAATGCAATGTCTTCTGTGTTGTGAAAAGAAAATGTATTCTGTGACGCTATTAGGTCTCTCAAAAAAATATGAAAATTATTCATAAAATAGAATAAAAAAAAATTACTAACACATTAGAAGGAAAAAAGTGTAACAAAATGTACGAATATGTATGAAAATGGAAAACAATTGTATAAAATGAGAATACTTAAGAATTTGGTCGTGCTCCAAATCCAAGTGAGTCCCAGACAAATGTTCTGGAGTTCAAGATCGTCGTCACACTGAATTACATGGATTCACTAGTCGGGAGAATAGGTGGAAGGAGTTCTCCACCAATCAGCCATATCTATTAATTTAGAAAAAAACAACAACTACTAAGCGGATCTCTGAGATCCCTAGCACCGACAGAGTGTTAATGGCCTTATGGACATGCATATTAGCCAGAGTGCATATTTGTTTCATCATAAATATACGTAGTTTGGGGAAGAGTAGCTTGAAACAAAGTGCCAGGTGTGATGGTGGGAATTGAACCTTGGGGTCTTCAAACCGACAATCTATCAAGCTGACCACTTGGCTACCGCAGCCCCGAAGTAGACATTACAGTTCATAATATACACAAATTGTATTATTAAAAATTGTTATTTATTATCATGAGAAAATAATAATTGGTAGAGTGCATGACACAGTGGCTTGGAGTAGATTGTGTCGCTTCCTTTGTGGCGTACAATATCGCTGACCGTTGTGACAAATCGCGTTTCTGTGTGGCCAAGCCGGTAAGTCAACAACGTACCTAATGTATTTTTGGACGTCCCTTTCAAAGTCCAGCCGGAGGACGAGCTCGTGAGCGTGCCTCGTCTTCTCGATCTTGCTCAGGTCGACGCCAAGCTTCACCAACTCCTGCAAGGTCGGCGATTTATCGGCGAATGGGGCGATGTTGAATGAAAGGACCTGCTGCTCCACCGGCTTTCCCATAGCCGGCGGCCTCGGTGCCTGAATCAGGTCTTTTCCCGGCTCCGTGCAGGATAAAGAAGAGCAGCTTCGAGGCCGTATTCCTAACAGCCATCCTCGTAAAAGATCAGAAAATATTGATATTCTTCTATGCATCTTTCAATTAAAAACCATAATTCCACTAAACGGTAACAAGCATGTAGCCTCTTCCTTTGATAAGCATGTTCTCAAGTCAATTACGGTCTCTGGTGCCCTAAACAGAAACTTGAGATTTTTTCCCTACTTCCTTACAATTACTCCATCATTTGTCCCAACTCCCTGTGAGATTTCTTTTGTCCTATCTCTCACCTTTTGTTATTCTCAAAAGTTCTCTGTGAAAATTCCACAAAACTGCATTTTAGCTGCAGAGCACGTTCTTGTGTATAGACGAGTTCTTTCAGTTATTTGTAGAAAAAGCAGGAAACTTTCTGCTTCTTTAATATGTGCTGAAGGTGACAGACCAGAGGAGACTTTCCTCTGTGAAAATTCAGATTCAGTTTAAGCTTTTTCATTCCTCAGTGATGATTAATAAACACAAATTTGTAATTTTAAAAAAAATGTCCAACTTTTGAAAAAAAAAAAAACATTTTTTTTTCTTCCTCATTACAAGATACCATCCAACTATTGAACTAGGCTTAACACATCTGCTGATTAAGAAAGCTAACAAAGATTATCAAGTGTTCCCTCATTTAAAATAAAAAAATTTTCCTTTGACAAAAAATTATGTGACTCACCTCTCTGGGTGCTTCTCTAAGAATTGTACTTAATTTAATCATTAGGTTCATTCTCTTTTTTTTGGGGGAGGTGTCTTCTCATCTGGCAACATCTCACCCAGTAAATCTGGGAGAACAGATTTTGCCCCAGGGTCTAATCTTCAATCTGAGTCATGGCTTCGAGTCGGATACCATGGTAGAGGTTGCCTCACCCAATAGGTTTTCTCTGGTAGATGCGAAGTGGAGGGCGGTGGATGGAAATGATGAGGGTTGTCTCTCGTTTCGTCACAAGGACTGTATCTATTTAAGCAGTTCACGGATATTTTGCCAAAACGATAATTAAGTATGTGTCCACTTCTTTCAATTGCCAGTGCTGAAGCATCATCTATGTCAAGGTACATGACGACTCCATGCCCTTCTGTTCTGACGGAGTGGATTTTCCATTTCTCAGTAAACACCCCTTCGTTCTGGGACTTTATAAGTGCTAATACTTTTCCTTCTTCTCCTGACATTGACCTCGGGAAGAAAATTATAACAGAGTGAGGTTTTGGTATACAATTCCCAATGCTCACTATTAATTTTTTATCAACACTTACCCTGAGTCGTGGGACTGTTTTCTCTAGCCATTCGACTGCCTTTTCATCCTGACAGTCTATTATTAGCATTCCTGATTTGAAGAGTATACCTTCAAACTGAAGCTTGTCCTTCCACCCTTTGGCGATTTCTTCTACTAGGATATCCTCTAGATGTAGCACCTCTTGTGATGAAATTGTAACCCTTGGATAATCCTCTGGCAATATCGCTACTTTTATTATGTTAACAAGCCCAGCAATACTGGTGCTTGGTTTGGAATGGTTATTTACATCGATAGATGTCTGATTGTGAGATATTTTAAACCTTTTGTCTCGTTTAATTTCTTCAGAGTCTGGCGAATTTCCCCTTTTGAAAGAATGCGTTTTCGACTCCATCCTTCTTGCTAGGGTGGCCTTCCTTTTCTCCACCATCCTCCTAGCTTCTTCGGGGGTTTTCCCATCAGCTATACTCCTCAGGTACCATTTCGTCATGGCCCCGCTCAAACCTTTCCTGAAGGGATCGTCCTTTCCACCAGGCTCTCCTAATTTCGGCTTTATGATGTACTTTGACGGCCTTTTTGGTTTTTTAAGGCGTGACGTCTTCACTACACGTCTACTACTGGAATGTTGGGGATTTTTCCTTTTTTCCGTGAATGATCTCACCTTCTGTCTCTCCTCCATGGCCGGGGAACGGATTATTTCCAATAAAATACTTCGCAAGAGATTATTAAATACTGAATTCGAACTCATCGGCAAACGCAAATTGGATAAGCTTGTAACAAAGATGTAACCTCCTCAAGGGCTCCGCTCTACTGACAAGCATGAGTCCAGTGTCCGGGATCAACTGATAAATAAATATTCCTAAATTTTCAAATTTTGCAATTACTCTCTAGAAGTAAAAAGTATTAACAATGTTAAGGTAAAGGAAATTTTTTTTTTTATGAAACTTCGAAAAGGCGTGATATTAAAAAAAATAATATGCATATGTATGTACAGTCATGGTTTTAAACTGTACAACTGTTAAAAATCACGTTCAAAAAATTTACACAAAAAGTGCGAACTAATTGAATTTAAAATCAAGCAGCATTTGAAAAGAAAACTTGCTTCTTGAACTAGAGCTCTATGATGTTATTTCATTTATGAATCATGCAAATCAATAATTTATAAATATTGTTTTTAAAAGTAGATACTATGTTCGTTGTATTTAATTAACATTCCACTTTATTTTTCTTTTTTTTTAACAAGGGTTTGCAACAGCAGAGGTCATATAAACCCTCAGGGTGCCGGTGTTTTTAAAAAAAAGCTCATTTGTAAGTATCGAGTTACAAATGTCGAGTTCGAATGCAGGGCCGCTGGATTCGAACCCTGGAGTCTCACCTTACAGTGATGAGAGCCGTGTCAATGCGGCCACCGACGCCCAACGTTTTCTGTTCACCTGCTAAGAAGATTGAACCATTTTTTTTTCTCCGTGACCTGGAGTACCTTCTTATGTTTATTAAACTTAATTTTATTTCAATTAACATTTAGCCTGAAGTGCCTCATTAGAGCTTGATTGAGTTCTAAATAGTACTTGCCGTTATTATGGGGGATAATTTTTTTTTTGCCTTATGGTCTAGCATATTGGCCAAGGGGGGGGGATAATCTTTGGCTGGCTATTTCACAATTTTTAGGTAGTTTCATAAGCCTGTGGTCATGGGTTCGATTCCCACCGTCGCCTCTATACATTTTTTCACGATACCCTTCACCCCAATACACATACCATAATTTAATGTCTGGCTTGGCTAATATGCATAGTTCATAAGGCCATTAAAAAAAAGTTTCAGGAATAATAGAGTAATTCTCACAATTCTGATCCACAGCAAGTTTTTAAAAAAAATTAGTTGCACTTGTTAAATATATGTTTTCTGTCATATTATACAGTTCTATTGCTGAATATTTAAATTCATGAGTAAAAAATAGGAAAAATAGGGAAGATATGTTTTTTTAAAAATAAGAATATTTTTTAGCGGTTTTTTATAATCTGTCATACTTATAAAACCTCCTGGTGTAGAAATGTTATCAGGCGGTCGGGGAGGTTTCAAAGCGGTTATCCTCTTTCGCAACTGTCGCATTCACATATCGTCCCGCATTCGTTGTCGTTGGGACGGGCTCTCGGACCGAGTCTCACCTCCCTCAGCCGCCTCCGCCATTTGGCCCTTTTTCCCCGTTTTTCGTTTTGTCGCGCGATGAGCCCGGCTCGTCCACCACCGTCAACACGTTAATCCGCCGCGTCAAGCCGAAAAAGATGAAGAACCGGGAGGAGTCGTACACGGACAAATTCGCCGTGATCAACGAACGGCCGGTGGACAACATTTCAATCGAGGCGTTCTACAGGCCGCACACAATCTCCCTCTTCATCGTCACGTTCGTCGCCCTGGCTTACATCTCCCTCGTCAGGTGAGTCAACAGTCAACAGTCAACAGTGAACAAGCGGGCGGCTTGGCAGGGGCCAAACTCGACGGCCGCCCCTGCCAGGCCGGCCATCCCGTTTTTAAAACACCCTCAAGGTCTAGTACAATTTTTTATTTAAAGATTTTGGCACTTGGATTATTTACAAAGTTTCTCCCAAGGAAATTTATATATATATATATATATATATATATATATATATATATATATATATATATGATTTAGCAATTGAACTTGATCCATACCCAGTTTTCTACCAAAATTTTAAATTATACTAATAGTATATAAAAATTGGGACTTAAATATCAAAATTTATCCTCGATATTGATCTGTTCAGTCTTGAAGTAGATCCAGAGAGTCAACACAGAGCCACCAGGCTATTTTTTTTTTTTATATTGATTTTCAGTTTATAAAACACATAGACAATCCATTTTGTCATTTATTATAATTTCTTTTCTTAACTTTTACTTTTTTTAAAAATGTAGTCTAATATTTTTAAATTGACTGTATAAATTAAATCTACCTGTGATTATATTGATTTTGTAGTTTTTGTATTTAGTTATTTATATAAAGTAAATTTACCATAGAACTCCATCCGATGAAAATATTAATCATATGAATATGTAAAACATTTTTTTCAAATTTGTGGAGGCTTGAAATTTGGCTTAACTTAAAACGGAACTACACAATTTTATACTTGACCACATCCAACAACTTATGAAATTTATGGGAGGGTCTGCATCGAGATGAACCAGCAGTTTGGTTTGTCCAATAATTTTTAGGTTTCTTTGTTCTGTCTGACAGATTTTGTCATTTCTTACAGTTTCACAGTGAGAATAATAGTGCGAATTCAAAATAGCAGTTTGAAAATTCAAGGATAGGATGAATGAAAGCTTTTTATAATGTTTTGTATTGTAACCAACCCCCATTTCAAAATTCTACACCAAGCAAAGCCTCCGAACTAAGGTTAGGTGTTACCAGAAAGGCAGTCACTTTTATCCTAACCCCTAAAGTAACTGGTAACCATATGGATCTTAAAATCTAAGTTATCTTCAGCTTGAGAAAGCTTCAACTTGCATTTTCCAATGTTACACCTAGCCTGTGACCAGTGCTTCTGCACATGTCTCGCTGGCTGATTGCACACCGTTTGGATAGTAGCTAACCATTCTTGCCAATCCAGGCACTGGAGCTGAAAACACAGGTTGTTCTTTTACACTCGGTCTTGTTGTGAGTCGTGGAAAGAAAAGTGGTAATGATGAAAGAGGAATCATTAATAGACGAACAAATTATGCCAGTTAGTTGCCAGTCAGAGCCTCCATACTATGGGACCATTATGTTCGACAAGCCCTGATGGAATAGAGGCAATACAATAGGTTTTCAGAAAAACTAATTCCAATTAAGGATTGGGGACTTCATTTTTCTGGTAATAGTATGGAGCTCATTGTAATCGCATTTCTGGAGACTGTAGGGTAGACATTAAAAAAAATGCAAGAAACAAGGACTTATTTGCCAGTGAGTACGATTTTTTTGGGTCCACTCTTATTCTCCTTGATAGGGGAGTGGAAAAACTCAAAAATCAACCTGTTAATACATTCCAAGTTATAAGTTGTATAAAGTTTAAATCCAAAAAACTACAATTGTAAAAAAAAAAAGAATGTAAATTGAGAAAACAATTTACATTATTTTTTTACTATTGTAGTTTTTTGGATTTAAACTTCATACAACTTGGAACGTATTAACAGGTTAATACTTAACAACCTGTTAATACATTCCAAGTTCCAAGTTGTATGAAGTTTAAATCCAAAAAACTAAAATAGTAAAAAAATAATGTAAATTGTTTCCCCAATTTACATTCTTTTTTTTACAATTGTAGTTTTTTGGATTTAAACTTTATACAACTTATAACTTGGAACGTATTAACAGGTTGATTTTTTCTTTTCATTTTATGTTTAGCCTTTGAGCATAATTTCCTTTGCAATCCTTACTGATTATCAAATGTGAGTGAGAAAATTGACTGCATTGTCCCATTTAATGACTATTGGACATACTAGGCAATTCAGCAAATTAATTTTGTTGGGAAATTTAGCTGACTTGCTATAATTTAAAAGAAACCCATACCTAATCTAAAATTAACGATTGTTTGTTTAACATTCCTTTGTTTTTGTTAATGGGAATATTTCAATTACCATTTATTTTCTTTTATCTACTGCCCATCAAATCAGTCTCATTTTGTATTCGTATTCCATAAGAATTTTTTTCTCGAAAATTGAGATTTCAATAAATTAAAAAAAAGTTTTATGTCAGTCATGTTAAATATAACGTGAATAAAATATGGTAAACATTAGTGTCACAAACTCCATTCGAACCAGCAACAAATCCGGATCAGCACCCCGACGATCTACCACTTTTTTTTGGGGGTTGTTTTTTTGGCATATTACCCATGAAGTTTTCTATTTTCATTTTACTATCGAGCGTGATTGGCCGACCAGGGCCAGGTCTCCACTGCTCGCCCACACCACTCATTCAGCTCCATCATCTTCTCATCTTCTAAATTTTCATGGTTGAANACAAATGAGTAATCCTGTAAACGTAAACAGAATATTTTATATAGATTTTTTTTAATGAAAACTTAAAATCCTGCATTATTTTCCGGACAACCCAATAGCTACCCCATAGGCATGATTTGTCTTCAGTCTAAAAATAGTAGAATAGAACTCCTTTGACATTCCTTCTGGGCTACCGCCTTCCGAAAACCATGGTTTTTTCTTGAGCTCAGGGAACGGAACAGTGACCTGTAATAATTTAGACCTGTAATAAGATCTACCACTTGCACTGTCATATTTTGTCATCATCATAGCATTTTGTATATCATAAATTATGAGTTAATACCGGTAAAAAAAGAAAAAAGTCCGTTAGATTTTTTAAATGGTCATCAAAATCATCTATTGGAGAAATCAAATATGAACTTTTAAAGGGGCAGACTTCTTTTTGCTTGAGGTGGATTTGGATTTATCTATATAATATCTGCACCTGTATGTACATACAATCATGTTCCTAGTTAAACCTATTCACTTCTCGTAGTCCACCAGCAATTCCAGCTTTCCTGTTTACAGAAAACCGCTGGCAGACTTGAAAATCACTCACATCATGGGTTTGCGGTTTGGGGGCAAATCTCAGGGCTTAGTCAAGGATGGGCATTGGGGGGGGGGTGCTGTCAACTGCTATGTCAATTTAGCACCCAACATAGTTCCAAACCTATTCGTACTCATGTGTTTGCTTGAGATGGTTTCGACAATTTGTCTTTTTTTCCTTTCTTACAATTAAAATGAACCTAACCTACATAAACACTTGGGTCTAACTTTCTCTCATTTTGCTTATTGAAGTCTCTGATAACACAAAATCACTGATTGCCGCCCTGAATACCTTGCTCGTCAAATATAACATGAATAAAATATGGTAAACATTAGTGTCACAAGCTGCAGTCGAACCAGCAACAACAAACGGATCAGTACCCCGACACTCTACCTATCGTATCATTTTGTCATCATTATAGCATTTTGTATATAATATAAATTATGAGTTAAAACCGGTAAAAAAAGAAAAAAGTTTGTTCTCTATTGGAGAATTCCAACTCATCTAACCTACAAATGAAAAAATCCAAATTGGTCTTATTAACAAAGTAATTATTTTCATTGGTTTATTATTTTTTATGGAAAGTATGGTTGAGTTGAAAAATGAGTGTCATGAGCTGGAGTCAAACCCACTGCAACATCCAGATCAGTACCCCGACACTCTACCACTCGAGCTATCGTGACTTCTAGAAGTGGCGCTGATGTACTGATCTGGATGTCGTGGGTTGACCCCCAGCTCATGACACTAATTTTTCTACTTCCCATTAAAAAAATACCTTGTAATGTTAATGTATACGTACGTACGTCAAATATTTATGTATAATACGTAAAAAATATTTGGAGACCAAGAGCAAAGACTATCAATGAGCAAACAATTGTCAGGAGATAGATTTGAAAAAAATTAATTCAAAGAATACCAGAATCAATATTTAAATAAGATAAGAGCATTTTACAATTTGTTCAAATGATTACTAATTACTTCTACACCCAAAAGTCAAAGCAGTCATCTTTCTCCACTTTGATTAGATAAAATTAATGGCAATAATGGTTTTTGTAAAGGCCAGATATTGAGTTTTTAATGTAAATGTAATGTAATTTTTCATGTTCAATATAAACGAGATCAAATATAAATCAACGAATTGTTAATTTTTGTTGTTTAAACACTAACTAAATTTTTACATACTCAGTGTGTAAAATTTTATTGAATAAATTGACAATAAATATATGCTTATTTGTAGCAATGATAAATGGTGGAATGAGTATGTTGTTCAGTCTTTATAAAAAGATAGTTCCTACTCAAGTTAATTGTTTTAGTTCCTATTCACAGTTAACTGTTTTTAGCAAACCAGATTTCAAACTTAAGCTCTTCATCAGGTTGAAGGAATTCATTTTTGAATTAACTAGTAAATTCCTTCAATCTGATGAAGAGTTATAAGCTTGAAATCCAGATCGTTAAAACAACTAACTGTGAGTAGGAACTCTTTTTATAAAGATATGCTTATTTGTGTTGTAATAATGTAAAATGGATACAAATAAACATATATTGTACAATTGAATTAACACAAGCAGTCTAGTCTAGTGGTAATTTTGCTAGCAAAAAAACCATATATTTATAAGTATATATTTTAAAACTTTCATTCAAATAATTAGAATATTTTAATATTTTGTGTTGTACAATTAATTAAGGTTTTCAGTTGAGATAAAAAAGTCAATGGTACGAGCGGGATTCGAACCCACGATCTTCGGCTTGATACGCTGCTGCTCTACCACTTGAGCTATCGTGACCTCGATCCACTCAGACATCAACTTCCCATCTCAACCACACCTTTTCAATTTTCCCTCCTTTTTGCCATTTTTGAAATGTCGTGTAATCAATTTGATTCTCAGCGACAAATGAAATGGCCACGGAAAACGACAAGTTAATGGGAAGTTGATGTCCAAGTGGATTGAGGTGAGATATTGAGGTGTAATGACTAAGGTGCTCACCGAGGAAGCTTCCCAGACTAACAACAAAGTCTTGTTAAAATTTTGTTAGATATTTCATGAAGTATGAATATAATGAAACGAACTTCCCAAATCCTATTTATTTTAATTTTATATTTTGTTTATTCATTTTATGGATATTTTAATACTTAATTGTTTTATTGAAGACAATTTGTATCTCAGAACAAGTTTTAAATTGATTTCTTTGCGATTGCTAATCTTAACATTTTTTTGTTATAAATTCTAAATTTATTTAATTGAAGTTTTACAGGCTTGATGATATAAAAAATAATAATTTAATTAATATTGATTTGTTTTGTTTTATAGAAATGAGGAAAGTATGGACAACAACATCATGGCAGGAGTCTATTGTATCGTTCTTCTATTTATCATCATCTCAATCCTGACGTTTCCCAATGGGCCGTTCACGCGGCCTCATCCAGCATTTTGGAGAATAGTTTTCGGCCTCAGCGTACTCTATCTCCTTTGCCTCATGTTTCTTCTATTCCAGAACTATAAGACGGTCAAGCACATCCTCGTCTGGCTTGACCCCAAGTTGGAACACTTTCACATAGACATGGATAAGGTATTTGTCCCAAATTGTCTAATCTCGAGGAAAAGAGAGTCAAACCTACAATTAGGCATATATTAAAAGAAACAATTTTCAACAATTCATTTTTCTAGTACAATTTTTAATTTTTAATTTAGTGTTGTATTATTACAATTATTTGAAAATAGATCTTTAAAACATGTTAACAGTATGCATTAGAGCATGTTTTGTCCTCAAACATATGCAGATATTAATGAACATGTATGAAAAGAAACTTGCTTCTAATTTTGAACTTTTGGTTTGAACCTAAAAAGCCTGTTAAAACCTCTTACTCTCTGTTTTTGTCCTGATGTTTTCCTGCAGTTACAATTAAACATTTCAAATTAATTTCTACTTTGCTCATTAGAGTTTAGGAATGAAAATCCCTTTGATATTAAAAATAATTTTGATATATAATAATATAATATAATAATTTTTTACATGTATAACTGTTGATGTGACACCTAGTGGGATTTAAATCTGCCTTTTTCATCAGCCCACTAATAAATTATAATATTTATCACAATTAAATTGTTTTTAATACGTTCTTGCTGCAGGAATATGGTGTAAACTGTTCAGAAATTAGTCTCGAGAAACTCTGGGATCATATGGATGCATTTGCCTTGGCTCATTTCCTCGGCTGGGCTTTTAAGGCTGTCCTCGTCAGACATTACGGAATATGTTGGACTGTGAGCTTCACCTGGGAATTTACCGAGGTAGGGTCAATACCATTCATGTGCGATATAAATATCAAATAAACTAATTAATCGATCGTAGATGATGTTCTGCCATTTGCTTCCGAATTTCATGGAGTGCTGGTGGGATGCGCTATTTTTAGATGTTATCATCTGTAATGGTCTTGGGATCTGGGTTGGCCTGCAAATCTGCAAAATCTTAGAAATGCGAGATTACAATTGGGTTGGAATAAAGTGAGCCAAATTGTATAATTCTTTTGTTTGGAAATTTTCATAAAAAAAAATTATATATTTTTTTTTTCAAAAGGGAAATTGAAACAACAACTGGTAAAATAAAACGAGCAATGCTGCAGTTTACTCCAAGCAGTTGGACCCATGTTAGGTGGCTCGAGCCGAAATGCACATTCAAGCGTTTTGTTGCAATTTGTCAGCTAGTCCTTTATTGGCAAGTTTGCGAACTCAACACATTTTTTCTTAAGCACATATTCGAGATGCCACCTACACATCCACTAGTTATCGCCAGGCTAGCATTCGTCGGGATAATAGTTGCCCCATCTGTCAGGTATACGCCGAATCGTAAATATCAGAAAGATTATTTTTTTTACCGTGTGTATCTTTTTAGACAATTCTACATGTACGCTACAGACCCCCACTGCAAGAGGGTGGGCACACAGTGCTGGGTCTATGGCGCAATTATGGTCTCAGAGGCCCTACTTTGTATCAAAAATGGAAAAGAGCTCTTCTCCCACACTCAGGCGGCCAACATAATAGGCTGGCTTTTAATTCAAACCCTTATGTCCATTCTGTGCGTGTACGGTTGTTACACTTGGCATAAATATTTTCAGGTAAGTGTAAAAAATGAATTTTCAGATCTCTCAGCACCAAACTAGGACAACTTCAATAATAAAAGTGAGTGCCTGTGTGCTTCCTGCTTAGTTTGATTTATATTTATTCTAATTTATTGTACATAAACGAGAGAAATTATCTAAGGGACTCTCTCATTTCTTGCTTCTTCTTATAGGAGATGTCATTACATCCTGTTTCACGAAATGATCGATTAAAAATTTTGCAAAGGACAACTCCTAGTTGTTTGAAGTTGTTTATTTTAGAAATGATTAGATAGTCAAATTGTATATTATAATCTTTTATGAAGTACAACAGATATAGAATTATCACATTTATTTTCTCTAATCTAAAAGTTATGCATTTACTATTTTAAAACAATGATAATATTTTAACCTTAACCTTCTTAATTATAGATAAAATATATAGCAATAAATAGGTTGAATGATGAATTAAAATGTGAAACAATAAAAAAAGTGATATTTTAATATAGAAAAGTAATAATTTTTTTACAATTAATTACACTTTTTATCTAAGGTCTTGGTTGAGATGAAAAAGTTAATTTGACAAGCTGGATTCGAAACCTCGACCTTTGGCTATTGTGATAACTAATTGAAATAATTAATAAGGCCAATTATGACTGCTAAACATATATGGAGTAATAATTTATTCACTAGTTTTCGTGGTCCACTTGACCAATTAATATATTTCAATTAATTAAGGTTTTTAGTTGAGATAAAAAAGTGTTGGGATTCGAACCCACGACCTTTGGCTAGATACACCGCTGCTCTACCACTTGAGCTATCATGATCTCGATCCACTCGGACACCAACTTCCCATCTCAACCCCACCGTTTGAATTTTCTCTCCTTTTTGCCACTTTTCAAATGTCGTGTAATCTATTTGATTTTCGGCGACAAATGAAATGGCCACGGAGAGCTTTAGTGAAGGTATACTTCATTTGTAATAATTTATAGTGAGCCAGTGAACACATTTTAAACTTATCGGTTACTCTACCCATCCACTCTCATCTCATGGGTTTAGATGTCACTCAAACGCATTTCAGCTTTATGCCATCTTCAGTGAGGAGCTCTTTTGAAATCTAAACCAGCAAGAGTAGAGGGTCCAGTAGACCAATCAGATTAACATACCGGGTTACCAGAAAAGTTCATGCGGGTTTAAAGGGTTTAATAATTATTGTCACAATTAAACTTAGTGTAGAAATGTTTTCTTCAGGGAAATAGTCTTTATCAGTATATATAATCTGCTCCTAACGATTTATTAGCCCAGTTATGCCCTTCATATAAAAGTTTGAGCTTTAGGACTTAACAAATAAATTCAGCTCATTTTCCAGCTGTTGTCGATTATTGAACTCTTGATTGCACATTTGATTGTCCATTGTAAAATAGTCCAAGAAAATGTAAAAGTCAGATCTGGAGGGTTTAGTGTGGTAGGGCTTCTCAACAAGCTTCATTATCACCTCCTTTGTCTAGCTTTACGAAGTCTAGCATTGTCCTAGTGACAAATTACACATTTTTTGTTCACAAGAGCAGGTTGTTAGACCAGAGCAACATATGGTGCCAGGCTTTGATTGTAGCTCTACCAAACCTAAAGCATTACCTTTTGTTGGTGATTATTTGGATACAATCTATTGGTGTTTCTGAACAGGATCAATTTTTCACCATGCCTGACAATCTGATCAAAAGTCTCTACTTTGTGCCATGAAAGCAATGAAAGGCAAATGTTTAGACGCTGAAGCTTGTTACCATCCAATTTATGAGGAGCTCATTTGCTCAGCTTCCACATCTTCTCAACTCAAGAATATGTTGATAAGGGATGGTTAGGGCGAAGCTTGCTCTCTGTAAAACCTGGGCCCCGTTGATGAAACAGGAAGTGGTTCCGATCCATGTGAAATTTAATGTATTCAACTCGTGTCAGTCAATCACGAGGGATTTGAATTAAGAAGTCACGATAGCTCAGGTGGTAGAGCAGCGGCGTATCTAGCCGAAGGTCGTGGGTTCGAATCCCTCTCGTGCCATTAACTTTTTTTCATCTCAACTAACAACCTTAATTAATTGTCATGACAAAATGCTATGTTGAACACTCTGGCAAGCTCCTGATTCAAATCATGTTCAATAGCTTCACATGTTGCCATTCAAAGAAGGCCTACCAGACCACTGTTTAATTTCAATCTCCTCATTTTTCCTAGAAGCAAACTTATTGAAAAACTTTTGGGCAGTGCGTTCACTTTCTTGTTTTGTCACTGAGCGCAGTGTACATTTTATGGCTGCCTCAGATACCCTAGTACTGGGCTTAAAATCATTGCTAAAAAGCCTCGAAAAAAAAAAAATTATAATGTACAGTAAACTGTCGAAAACATTTTTTAAAATAATTTTATGAACTCATTATCCTATTTGTATTACATGATCTAATCCTCTTATGTAAATTTAAATGTTGATTGACGGTATTAAAATAATTAAAAGATAACAAATGAAAAACAGCATGAAATTTTCTGGTTACCTAGTAAAAGTAACACTGATTTAAACAATAAAACCGTTTTTAATTAAGGTATTTTGCTGGTAATCCTCTGGTCACACGACGGGTTTGTAATTTGACTCTCCTTCAAAGAAACAAGACTTGCGGTGTCATCTGTTTGGCTTTTACCCCTTTGCATGAAACACACGGGGGCTTATTGTGTGTTTATAATTCTATTGTGTATAATAAAGGAGTGCTTGCATTATGTTTTTGGGTTCTGGTTTTTGCAGACTGGGGAAGAAATCAATTATTCAAGCGACCCATCACCCATCTCCGAGACTGCCCCATTGATTACCGATGAATTGACAGGGAATGGTGGTAAGTCAATTTTTAAAAAGAAACCGGTTACCATTCCTTCTCTTCCTCTTTGTACCTTGTCAAAATGGGGGATAAAAAGATTTACAATATCAACTTATTGTGCATAGGCTGTGTAATCTATTTTATGATAATTTACTCTCTTTGTGTAATTTATGCTATAGTTTTTGTATTTATATGACCACTTTTTGCTGTAAGTATTTTGTACTATTTATTTCTTTTTTGTTTTTGCATTTCTTAATGCTTGTATCTTTTTTTGTTTACAATTGATTTTGTTTTCAAAGTTGGACATAATTTTGTGGTTTTTAATAATATAGTTGGTTTTGAACACTGATCAATTTTACAATAAAAAGCATGAATCAAAGAAATAATCATATTTTGATAATATGTAAGAGAACCGACATAAAATATAAATTTCACATTTTCATTCATTAAAGGCTCTAGATGTCCAGGTTATAATTTTATTGAAAAATTAATTATCTAGACAATTTCTTGAAAATAATAATATCAGAATAGTTCGTTATATTGATACTTGCGCACTGCTATTCTATATATGTTTTGTAGAAATTGCTAAAAATAAAATTAGTTCTGCTGCACATGTGAGTAAAAGGGAAAAATGGCGTTTGGCGTGAATGAGAAATAAAGTGCTAAATGATGTAAATTTCACAATTCACTAGTTAATAAATATGTTATGATAATTCTTTATTTATTTTTAATATACTAGTATGATTCATTAAGGTAATGAAATAATCATTTTTGTAGTTTATAAATTGTAATTACAGCACACTCACACCGACTAATTGATAGATGATGTATTTTAAGGAGTTGAAAAGTGTAAGAAACCAATAAATAAAAAATATTAGATAATATAATTTCTTTTGGAGGCCATCTAGAATATTAATTTTAAATTACTTCATCCTTTAATTTATGTGATTTTTGGGTTACCAAATTTTGTATAATTTATGTTTTCTTTTTTCTAGAGCCCTTATATGGCTTTGCGGAGATACCTGAGACTCAGTTGAGGCAACGAAAAAATCTGAACCCTCAATAGATGCAATATAACTATTTGTTTTTCTATTTTGTGTTTGGTTTTATTAATTTCTTAAGGGGGGAAAAAAGATAGTACTGAGAAGATTCAGTAGTTGGAGGAATTATTTTGAGATGATATAAATATTATTAGATATATTTTCATCTCCTAACTTATATTGTATAGGCGATTAAAATTTATTTGTGAAATTTATTCTAAAAGACTGCCTTGGATCATAATTTTTGCAGGCAATTGTATTTTATATGGTGATTTTTTCTTTGTTAGCTTAGAAGAGACAATTTTTCAGGGTCATGATTATATTAGTAATTATTAGTTATTTATTAATTGCTTCTTCTACAAAAATACATTGCCTGCGCCATTTTAATTTTCTTTTGTGTCTAGTAAATGAAGGCAAACTCATTTTTAAAAGATACATATGGACTGTTGTATTATTAAAACAAATAACATTAAAAGGAAACTTGTTTTTTTTTGTTGTAGATTTAATTTATAGTTTCACCAAGAAAAAAAGTGTATTTATTACATATAATGGGTATATATGGTTGAAATAAGTAAGTTATTTTCAAGTTACAAGAGTAGAGATTGTTAAATTTATTTTTTTACGGTATAACTTGGCAAGGCAGTGTTTACTTGAAGTTTAGAATTGTTCTTTGAACAATTTAAGATTAAAATTGTATAATCATGACAGTAGAACTTTACGTATATAAGAACTTTACTTTAACCATTTTCTTTGAATAAATGTTAACACTTCTAATCTTGAATGCAAGTGTTAGTCTTCCGACTCTAAATGACATTTTTTTAGCATCTTTTTCTTTCTTTTTTATTTTTTAAAATACTGCTTAGTTTTTGGCTCAAGGCCATGTGCCATTAAATTCATTTTATTTAGCATAAAGCCAAAGGTCAGGACACAGTAGTCATTGTTGAATCATGCTGTTTGGTGGCCAAAGATGTTTTTAGTTCCTTTTTTGTTTTGTTTTTGTTTGTTTTTTGGCACCATGTTTGTACAGTTAAGGTAATAGTTGTACACCTGTGATATCTAAATGTAAGGGAAATTTTAATTTTTTTTTTTAAATTCTTCTATATTTTAGTTATGAAACCTTGATTTTTGCTCATGTTAGAAATTATTTAGCTCACTTGTTGGTAATAATCAAAACATTATACAATTTCTGATTGTTTGTTGTTCAGCCTTGGCATACATTGACTTACGGTCAGATGTTTGGTCATTAATAATCAATGAGATTGTGCATTCACGATTAGAAATAATCAAAGAACTACTGAATGCTGCTCCTTATTTATTTTTACCATAATTATGTAAAATATGTTGTGTTTACTTTTGATTCAAATAAAACTAAAAATGCTGCAGTTTTATTATTCTCTCGTTTGCCCCCTTTGGTGAAAATTTATTGGTAGAAAGCAATTGTAAATTAAAAGAAAAAAGTACTCCACTAAATAAGCATCACCTTTTGTTGGTGAATAGTTTACATGCAAATTAGACAGGGTCATTTGGTGATATCCAATGGTATGACCCCCTGGTGTTACTATTCACGGTCCTTTTTTCATCATACATATGTGACAATCTGGCACAAAATGTCTCTACTTTGTGCTGTGAAAGCAATGAATGGCAAAAAGTAGAGTCAGAAAAGTTTTGATGCTGAAGCATGTTATCGTTGGTCAATTTATGAGAAATCCATTTGTTCAGTTTGCAAGTTGATCCAAGCTAGAGCAAATGGTAACATCAGTTACGTTGAACACTTTGGCAAGCTTCTGACAGGTTTGACTCAAATTAAGTTCGATAGCTTCCCACAATTCAAGACAGAAAGTCTACCAGACCATGTACATTTTCAATCCGAGAGGAATTGAAATGAGAATTCCCAGAAGCAAACTTTTTGGGCAGTGCGCACACTTATTGTTTCATCATAGAATGCAGTGCAAATTTTACTAGTTTCCTCGGCTACCCACCCTATTACTGAGCTAAAATTCATAATGAACTGTTCAAGACATTTTGACATTTTTCTTTATTAATTGGTCTCATGTATTAACGTCTTGGTTTTATAAATATATAAATACCTAATCCTACAATGTTAAAGTTGATTAACGGTATTAAAACAAAATATGAAAAACCACATGAATTTTTCTAGTTACTTTGTACTTTGTAGCGACCATCAGGGTTTACTGGTAGGCGGAAAAGATTTATTTTAACATTATTCATGCATAGGATGGAAATTGTCATTCATCGAGTCAGTCCAATCAACAGATGGTCTATTTCAGTGGTTCCCAAACTTTTTTAACCCAAGGACCCCTTTTTATAGTCAAAACTTGCCCACCAAGTGAAAAAGCTACACAAATGCATAGTATAAAAATTACAAATTAAAAAAAAAAATGTTGAAGTATTTATTGAAATATAAGTTTTGTTTAAAATAAAATTTAAAAAAAAATTAATGTCTTGATGAATGTGATGAGATGTTATGAGTGTATTTATGTTCGGCTCTATGTTCGTGAGTAGCAACTACAAATCCCCACGAGCACTAATTTCTAGTCTTCACCAATAGTGTAGTTTTCCGGGCTGTGCAATCAGTAAAGAAATGTTATAAGAAGACAAGAATGCAGTCCATTATCATCTTGGTTAGATGTTGTCCCTATGAGTTGTTGCAATGACGGTGTTTTCAAATATTATTCTTTGACCGTTTGAAGAAATGTTAAATCCTTATTGTTTTTGTCCCTCTGGATTTTTATTAAATGCTCCTTAAACTTGGAAGGTTTCATTGATTCATTTGACAAAGTTTTATTACATAGAAGACATAGGTAAGTACTATTTCCTGATAATGAAATAAAGCCACATTTCAAATATTCAACACAGTTCATTAAATTCGCTAATTGTGTGTTCCGCTTGACCAATTAATATATTACACTTAATTAAGGTTTTTAGTTGAGATAAAAAAGTCAATGGCACGAGCGGGATTCGAACCCACGATCTTCGGCTAGATATGCCGCTGCTCTACCACCAACTTCCCCATCTCAACCCCACTTTTTAATTTTCCCTCCTTTTTGCCATTTTTCAAATGTCATGTAATCGGATTGGATTCTCGGCGACAAATGAAATGGCCACGGAGAGGTTTAGTGAAGTATACTTCATTTTAATTCATAAAAATTCACTAATTTCGTGGTCCGCTTGACCAATTAATATATTACACTTAATTAAGGTTTTTAGTTGAGATAAAAAAGTCAATGGCACGAGCGGGATTCGAACCCACGATCTTCGGCTAGATACGCCGCTGCTTGAGCTATCGTGACCTCGATCCACTTGGACACCAACTTCCCCATCTCAACCACACCTTTTAATTTTCCCACCTTTTTGCCATTTTTCAAATTAGTGAATTTAATGAATTAAAATGAAGTATACTTCACTAAAGCTCTCCGTGGCCATTTCATTTGTCGCTGAGAATCCAATCTGATTACACAACATTTGAAAAATGGCAAAAAGGAGGGAAAATTAAAAGGTGGGGTTGAGATGGGGAAGTTGGTGTCCGAGTGGATCGAGGTCATGATAGCTCAAGTGGTAGAGCAGCGGCGTATCTAGCTGAAGATCATGGGTTCGAATCCCGCTCGAGCCATTGACTTTTTATCTCAACTAAAAACATTAATTAAGTGTAATTCAACACAGTATTGTAAGCATTTTTTCTTCGGCTCACTCGTACTTTTATCTGTTAAAAATGGCACAAATGATATAAGAAAATGTGTGTATGAAATGTTTTATTTGAAACAAACCACTGTTACTGTAACAAACAATACTGTTACTGCGTAATACAGAAAACAAACACTTTCAGTGAGTTCAAATACTTCGATTGAATCTAAAATTTCTAGCATTGCATAAATTTTTTTTCACATCCTAAATGTATTTGTAAAATTTAAACAATGTTTATAAATCTCGGGCCCTGAAGATGATCTCAATAAAGATTGAAATGTTGGCACGATAAAGATACTGTTTTTCTAAAACCTACGTCACACCAGACCACATCTCATGATGTCCAAAGAATCGTTTTTCTCATTCGTTAGCAATACGGTTACAGTTACAAGTTACGGCAGTTACTTAGTCGTACTAGTTACTGCTTATCTTATCAGTTCTCTTACTCATTACCGAGTATTATACAATACTGCTAATTTCCATAATAATAAAAATGGATCACAATTTTATTATTTTTTATTAAGCCTTGCACGGACCCCCTTGACGTTGTCCAGGGCCCCCCAAATCAATTTTGATTTTTCACGGACTCCCTGAATGATACCGGGGACCCCTGGGGGTCCATAGGGACCACTTTGGGAACCACTGTACTCTATTTGTACTTTTTGGTCATATGAATTTTTTTTTCTTGAAAATAAAAATAATCCCTGTCACAGGGTTCTAAGTCCAACTATTTATACTCCCCCTACCCAATAATTTTCATATAAAATTCATGACCCAGAACATGACTGATAATCGGACATCCTAATGACTGCACCGTAGTCCACCTTTTTTTTTTTTTGCATGCCACAAAGTGATGCAATATGTCGTCTGTACCGAGAGGACTTTTCTTCCTTTTTCTTTTTTGAAATTATAGACCTGGAATTGAACTCAGTACAATGTACATCACATAATACCTGCCTTGAGATTATCTCTCAATGTGAAAAGAATAAATAAAATTACTTGTTTTAATATAGTTTATTTTATTTTTTTTTAATTTTAAATAATCGAATATAGTTATGAACACAAAACACATCTTAGTACCAGTCTGAGCAATGCAATTCTACAGATTTCATGTACACTCAATTGAACAAAACACACCACATTTGTAACTCTATTAATTTACATATCTACATGCACAGAATTTTATTATTTGTCTTTTATCTAACCGATTAGTTAGTTATTTATAAACATTTACACTAACCCGATGCTTATCACCTTCCAAAATATTTAAAAAAAATTGACATTCCAACAATAAAAGTCTAAGATTCTCCGTATACAACATAGGCATTTCCTTGATTGTAATTCGTATACATCAATGTGTCAAAAAACACAGAAAAAGCTTTCAATTTATTATTTCAAAGTTGTCAGAATTTATACAATTTTATATTGGTTTTGAATATTTGGTGTCATTTTTAAAAAATTGTTTAGGAAAAACAACATAGGCCTTGCATATTCACTTTTCGAGGAACTATTTACTTATTTAAAATGATTTTAGGCCAATTTAATCAATCGTTTAAGTGACTTTCTTCAGTAATACTTTGAATGAATCAAAATGAAGTCACTAAGCATAACATTTTTTCCCTTTTTAAAGGAACATTACAGTTTTTATTGACAAGCAATAACAAAAAACAATCTTGTATCAATTATATTAACCAATAACCATTTGCACAACTCATTGATAAATCAAAATGTTAAGATAAAATCATATGTGTGACTAATTGTTTCGACATTGTCATTTATCTCAATTTAGTTAAAATGAAAAAAAAATTGAAGTTTTAATAGCACAATGTCAAACAGTAACAACATTTTTATCATTAAGCATATAATAAATTATTTTATAAAGTTTTATTAGTTAATGCAAAGAATATCCTTAATTCTTGAGTACAATAAATAACACCTAAAATATAACAGAAATGGTTAGATAACCAACTGGGAGTGTCAGTAAGCTGAGGTACACACTATTTTTGGTAACAACTATTTTTTTCTTTTTTTCAGTTGTAATCTAACATTAAACTAAAACGAATCACAGTCCACAACATGTTCGTTAAAGTTTTTTTAATTTTTGGTTGCTAAATACATTTTAGCCACGAATAAACCTATTTACCTTTATATACAGCCAATTTTTGTAAACAAATTGGGATTGGGACAGATCATGAAATGGGGATATGTAGGCAAGGACCTAAAATGTAGGCCTTCAAAAAAATAAAATAAAATAAATAAAAAATAAATTAATTAATTAAAATAAAATCATAAAGGGATTTTCAGTGCAGCCAGCTTGAGCCATCTACTCCCTGATTTTCCCTAATGTTGATGAATAGGCTACAGTTGGCTCCAGGAGAAAGAATGCCGGGATCCTTCCTCGCACACTGATCTGCAGAAATTGTAATTGTTCGTTTTAAGACCTTGTTTCTCACTTGCGATGGTCCCAACCACCCGAGTTGTAAAACCAAGAACTGTCTTCTCTTTTACCCCAAGTGCTATCCATACTGTTTTCCTATAAATAATAAGTTGATTTATGAATAAAGTTACTTATAGAATCTGAAAATTCTCTCTAAATCTAATTCTAAATAAATGAATATGTTAATATTTCTATTAAATTTGAAATGGGAGTTAAAAGTACTTACGGCAGGAGGCGGTGGAGGAGGAGGTAGGTAGTCCATATTAGAATAGTAAGAAGAATAATTGTGGGAATAACTGCTGCCGTAGCTTGAAGCGGCACTCGATAGGGTACCGCTGCCCAGTCTGCTACTCTGGTCATTAGAATCGAGAACCGCTGGGCTCCATATGGAAGAATTGCACCCTAACCAGAATCGGTAACATTACTGTGTCGATCGATTATAATTTACTCCTGGGCGTACCTGTGGTGTATGAAGTTTGATTCAACTTTGGATATGTGGTGGGCGATTCCCTTGTGGCGTTGTTGACGAGAGGTTTAGGAGTACTGCTCCCTGTCGTTTTGCTCTTCAAAGACCCTCTTCCTGTCATTGCCTGCTTCTCTCCTCCTGATTGAGCCTGTTGTTGCTTCACCTGCTGTCTACATTTTGCTCTTCTATTTTTAAACCAAACCTTAAACATAAATTTAGTTTATTAAGATAACAATTATTACAATAGGAAACTAAAACTTTGTTTTCTTTTGACAATTGAGCTATACTATGATTTTAGTTACCACATTTTTTGTAAAACAAGTTTGATTCTATACATTTTGGTATGTCATTAGTCATGGAATACCTGAATTGTGCATAATTATATAGTTATACTATTTTTTCATATTCAATTTCAATCAAAGTTTAGACAGCCAATAGGAAAACAAACCGTACTGAACAAATAAAGAGACTAGCTGTACAGATCAACATTTCATCTATGATCCAACAACATAGTATTGTGGCAATAAATGGATCAACATTTATTGTTTTAGAGTTGATGAAAGGGTTTTGGTCAGCGAGTCGGTGAACTCATTGAAGCAGCAGAAAGTCACATGCTGGGCATGTCACCATTTGCCAGTTTTTGTGCATTGTGCCATCTTCAATGACCCTATGCTGCTTCTACCTGATTTATAGTTTTATTGTGTCCATATTTTAGTATTTTGAGTGCCCATTGTGAGTATTTCACTCAAACTTGTTTTAGCTTCACACCATCATCAGTGACCAACTTTTATATAAGTTAAAAAAAATTGTCCAGAAATGAATAGTTTTACCAAATAACTTGCCCACTATCACAGGAACTACAGAATGTCAAGTTTCATTTTAATTAATATTATATATTAAATTATAATATTTTATACTACTCATTAGAAATACTTATATTACAAAAAAAAAAAAAATTATGAACATCAAGATAATACAAATATTAAAGAGAAAATAAGATATTTGTCAATGAACCATGATTAAAAGAATGTGGCAGTGTCGGTGGGCTGGATTGGCAGAAAACTTGCATATCACCAGCACTGTTGATAGGTAGCCCTTGGACCTGACTGATAAAAAAAGGTTTATCTTCACATGATAAGAATAGGCCATGTGAAGTTGAGTCACAAAAAATTAATTTTGGGTACAATTCCTTGGCTCCATATAGAGAGCTTAGGAATGCCACCTGATGAGAGGATTGTGACTTGAGCATGGCAGTGAGTATCTGCTGTTCCAATCTTGGAGGAAACAAGGTTGATTTATTGTATATGATAATGATAGTTTTGGATCCCTAGCTTGTATTGAGAGTGAATGTATCAACTGGCATGAATGTGTAGGGCGAGAGGGCTGATGGCAAAATATCGAGTACCCCATCTTGCCTCTGATTTAGATTAGTTATATAATAGGGGTAAAGGATGATTGAGGAAACCACCCAGCCCAACCTCAGAGGCTGGATGGATAAAATTGAGATCTGCCCTGGATTCCCAACACCCGAGATGGATGATTCTTGAGACCTGCCAGTAATTCATTGTAAGGTACAAAAGCTGGAATTGCCAGTCGTTGCGATAAGTATTAGGTTATTGACTTCAGCTGCTACATTTTCATTCCCTAGCTTTTTCTGTATGCTAGGTTAATTCTCCATTGAGCAGTTACGTTGCATTTGAAGATGATATGGGTAGCTGTTTCTTCCTCCTCATTATGTAATCTTCAAATGGGATCATCAGTACATATGCCCATTATGTAGATGTTTTCCCAGATGCCAGTCACTGGCTAATATTCCTATCACCCCTCTGAGTTTGGCCCTCTCCAACTGCAGCAGTGAGTTTGCCAATCTAGGTGAGAGTTGTTTTAGCATAAGTTTACTGTGCCTATAGCGCCGCTAGAGTTTGTCCAATTCTCCTTTTGTTTTATTTGGATCCATTCTGGAGGATTCTGTATTTGTTTTTGTTATCCCAACAGCGCCTAGGTATGGTCTTGCAGATCCTCTGGCCAGTGTGTCTGCTTTTACGTTACCCAAAATTCCTTTGTGTCCTGGCACCCAAGATACCATCAGGTTATTGTGTTTCCGCAGGTTTGGGAGATTTTGGATGCATTCACTGACTAGTTTCGATGTGATTTTTTTACACGCTAATCCTGCTTGGCTATCCGGTCTTATGCGGATTTTTTTGCCAGGCATGTATTTCTGCTTGAAAGACCGAAGTGTACTTCCCTCATGAATTTGATTGTTCATATCTTGGGCTTGTACAAAAAACACCCGATCCTGTTCCTTCGTTTGTGCGGGTTTGAGCTTATATACATCAGTAATAAGATTTTTGTTGTTATTTAGCTTAAACTTTTCAGATTTGAAGGAGATCAGATGTGGGATGTAAAACATGTCATACATTTAAATAATCTTTAATAATAGTTGCTATTCTATCCACGAAAAAAGCGAAAATTCCATTTGGAACAAAATCCAGATATTTTATGTCAATTGTACTGTTATTTAATTGATGAATGAATTTTTGAAGTCAACATCATTGACCATTTATAATTATTATTAAAATTATCCTATAATGGTAATTGCTACCCGTTTTGAGGATGACATTGTACAACCCTTTTTCCCCACAATAATTATAACGTTTCCTTAAAAAATCTGAAAAATCTCTTCTTGAATGGGTTTGGGTTTTATTGAATAATAAATTTCAATTAAATCAGTTGTCAACGCTTTTGTTCACGTCGATCATCTGGCAGAATTCGGTCCCCTTCCGTCATAATGGCATGATCGATAGAGGCCGCCTTTCGCCAATCATCGCCGGTTTATGTATAATTTAAAGTAAATCATGTTATTGATGACGGAGGGGGGCGGCATATGGCCCGGGTTCCCACATACCCTCCGAAGAAGAAGGGTGAGCATTTCGATTTATAAAAGAGAAATAAGCAGTTTAGTTCCGCCTGACTGTCCGAAACCCCATGAATAGAATTTACCTTAAATATTATATAAATGCTTCTCGTTAAATCGTAATCGAGCGACGTCCCTCATATAAAAAATGTACACCCGATGAACATGGAATACCTAAATTATCTAATTTATAAATTTGTGTTTAAAATTCGTAATAGCTTATAATAGGCCAAATCATTTTCTAACAAATTTAGTTTAATGCAAGATCTCAAGAACTGAACCGTACGCATACTAGATTACTACTGACGTTTTGTACATAAAGTCAGTTTTAATAAATATTAATAAAAAGTACAACCGAATAAGTCATCTTTTGAACATAATTTGATTTGGCGACGATGACGGTCGCAGACCTTCATAGTAAAAAGGCTGGACACTGTTAGGGATGTATGAAGGGCGAGTCTAGCCGTTGACTACTCCCATTTGTTCGACTTTTGCCTACGTCAAACGGGACGATACGCTTTGGAGTTTTTTCTATCCAATTTGATCAAAGCGGGATATTTTTTCTTTAAAAATTATATTGCCCCCACAATCCAAGACCTCGTAACTTTACTCCACAGAAAACGCCCAAACAATGAAGATGGTGAAATGCCAAACGCGCCTGACTGACAAAAATAAGCGAGGATAGGCGGACCAAGATGATAGGTGAATATCTAACTATAGGTTCACTCCGCAGACCAAAGGAGGAAATCTCACAAAATGGTTATAATGGAGTGAGTATATCAATTCGATATTTGAAAAGGATAGTTACGCTTATCCTGAATAGTACTAACCACATAAACTGTTAAACGTTAGTATTCTTCGTGGTGCCTTGTAGGGAATGTCATGCCGAAACTGACGCTGATGCCAATGAGCGTTGCTTACTTTTAATAAAAAAAATCGCTTGTTTTCATTTTTACTGATTATTTTCCGAAAGCCTACTATTTTTGATTTTGCAGCAATTTCGGACAGACACTTTGCCCAGGACTTTGACCAGACGTTGGGCAAATATTGTTTGTCTATGGCCGGCGCCACACTAGACTGAATGCGACGGAAGTTTTTGTGACGGAAATTTCGCGACGACAAAACCGCTCAACCCGAACAAGCCACATATACAGCGGGAATGAACGGAATGTCTTCAACGACTCTTTGGATTTGCCGTAGATAACGTGACCCAGTTGATCGTGTACGGTACAATGAAACAACTTTTCATTTTATGAATTTACAATGCAATGGAGAAGCAGAAGAGAAAGAGAAAAGACTGGATTCATCCATTGAATGTGAAAAGGGTAGCACTTGGTGAATTACACCGTCTGTATGAGGAACTTCGACGCTATCCTTTCAAGTTCTTCCAACACTATGGCTATAGAACTTCCACAATAAATTGGCTCAAGTTCATCCTAGATCAGCTTCACTTGCAGTTTGCGTGTGACTGCCTACCTCTTCCGTTCTAGGCTTGTCCGTCGTCAGTGTGGCGCACCCCATCTATTTTGCACTGTTTTGATCTGGTTAGAAGGAACACAGCGGTACATTCCGTCGACGGAAGCTGGTGCACCAACGGACCTCGACGGAGCCATTAAGACGGAAATTTCCGTTCAGCTGTCGCTGGCTATGTTTTGAATGTAAACTTGTGCAGCGGAAATTTCCGTCTAGAGTGGAGCCGGCCTAGGATGTAAGTATTTGGTAGGATTTTAAGATTCAATTGTGCTTTTAATCCGCGAAGGATAACGTAAGAAAATTTTTGTCACTTTGGAGAAATCTGCACCAAATCGAGTATCTGCTAGTCCGGACCTCGCTCCTTCAGAGTTAAGCCAACTTTAAGAAATCGAGCAACTATCCCTCTTCATTATTCGAGGCTTCTGATTTCAAATTTGGGGACTATTGCAATTTATATCTAAAACAACTCGCTCTGCAGAGAAACAAATTTTGTCCTTTTACATTTAGAACTTCATGTTTAACTTTTGGGTGGATTTCAAAGGATAAAGTTATATACGTATATAGTTAGTTATATAGTTATATACGTAAATCAATTAGTTTTTTGTAAGAAATTTTTTAATAAAAATATATATTTCTATAACAATTAATTTAAATATAATATTTACTAATAACATTTCATAATTTTATTGTAATATTCTTACTCCACCTTTATTTTCCTCCCATTCGATTTTGCAATACTTAACTTTTCACATTTTTTTAACATTTACGTTTTTGACATTTCCCTGGCTGGTCTAATTATCTGAGAAGCCGTGTAG